GAATCCTGACATTCAGAAATCTCTCTGGCTCGCCTGCTGTGGTTGCTTCCCGTCCAATTTCTCCTTCAGAGCCAGGTCTTCCAGCGACGTATAACGTGTACAGTGTCCGTGTTGGTGTGCTTTTTTTGTTTTCTAACTGTGTTTATTGGGGAGGGTAATTTTACACACATTTATATTCACACACACACACACATTCCTCTTTCCTTCCTTCTCTCTCTCTCTCTCACACACATACACAAACACTTCTTCTCTCTCCCATCTATCTATATATATATATATATACACACACACACACAAATACACACAGAGTCTGTGTGATTTTTCTAACTGTGTTTAGAGGGTTAATTTCACATTTACACACACACACACACACACACTACCTGTGTATTTTTCTAACTGTGTTGGGGGGTGGGGAGGGGGGTAATTTACACACATTTATTCACACACACTCCTGTTTCTCTCTCTCTCCCATCCTTATACACACATATACACACACACACACATAACCCTGTGTTTTTTTTACTTAAAAAAATGCATTACAACGAGACTGGTGGGGGGTGGGGGGTGAGTGAGTGGGATTCTTGAGCGATGGTTTTTTTGGGGGGAGGGTGGGAGGGGTATTGGTGTGATTATTGGAAAGCAAAGTCAGTCAGTGTTAGGGCAAAAGCTCATTCTGTCTCAATTCAGTGAGTGAGTGAGTGAGTGAGTGAGTGAGTGAGTGAGTGAGTGAGTGAGTGAGTGAGTGAGTGAGTGAGTGAGTGAGTGAGTGAGTGAGTGAGTGAGTGAGTGAGTGAGTGAGTGAGTGAGTGAGTGAGTGAGTGAGTGAGTGAGTGAGTGAGTGAGTGAGTGAGTGAGTGAGTGAGTGAGTGAGTGAGTGAGTGAGTGAGTGAGTGAGTGAGTGAGGACCAGGGAAAATGTATGGTTTACCAATGATAAGTAGACACAGCAGTGGGGTTGGTGTATGTGTAAGTGTAGCCCCTCAAAGAGAGAGAAAAACACAGTTAACATAAATCACTATTGACAAACCCAGTAACTGACTGACTACCAGTCTGTTTAGTTCCACCGTTGAAAATTCACCAATTTCTGCACACATTTTCTCTGGGTATTAATGCACTGTTCTTCTCCTACTACGCCATGCACTTTAAATTCAATTGTAGGTAAATTTTGTGCTCTAGATCTTAAGTTGATCGATGGGTTTTTTTTCTATCTAAAAAGACTTATTATTTATTGATAATTATATATTATATAAGATAGAGAGATGTAAATACGTTGCTTAAACGAAACTGTGATTTGTTTTCGATTCCAGAAAGATGTATATAAATATATATCTATATATTTAAAAAGCAACAAACAAACGAGAAAAAAAAGGGGGGGGATTAGTATTTAATATATTATTTAAGGATATCAGCCTCATGTTGTGTTGTGTTGGGCTGCAAAGCAATGAGGTATGTGAGCAACAGAAAGAGAAATCTCCTTTGATGTGTACGTCGAGATTTATCAATCAATCATTCAGACCAACACAGGAACAACCAACATGTACAACATATTTTTTTAAGTAATAATAATAATAATAATAATAATAATGGACAATAACTCACTCAGACCGTAAACCTCTGATTGTTATTGTTGTGAAGGTTAGAAAGAAGCCTTTAAATTGTTAGAACAGTTAAATGGCTTTGTGTGTGTGTGTGTGTGTGGTGTATGGTGGATGTGTGTGAGTGTGTGTATGTATATATGTGTGTGTGTGTGTGTGTGAATAAAGTCACTTAAGCAGCTTTTTTAAATATGTATATATATATATATAGGTGAGTAAATAAATGGCTTTGATCTCACATTAAAAGGAGGGGAAGGAGGAGGAGATATGTAGTTCTGCACTGACAGAAACCGACCAATGGTTCCTTTTCACAGAATGGGAACCTGTGCACTTTGCTGTGTGTGACGAGAAGAGATGTTGTGAAGCACTTGGACTCATGTGTGTTGCAGACAGTATTTTTGTCTCTCTCTCTCTCTCTCTCTCTGTGCCCTCCGAACCGAACAGTTCTCACCACCGACCACTTCAGTGCAGTGTCGAGTCCTTGGCTTTGTGATGGGCTGTTTTCAATTGAATTGCACATTCAGGACAAATCTATCAAATATATATCCTTTTCCCTTATCCCCTTAACCCTTACACCCCCTTCCTCTCCCCTCACCTTCCCCCACACACACCCACACACACACACACACACAATACACCCCCACAATACACCCACACACACACACACACACAATACACCCCCACAATACACACACACAATACACCCCCACACACACCCACACACAATACACCCACACAATACACACACACACAATACACCCCCACAATACACCCACACACACACCCACACACAATACACCCCCACAATACACCCACACACACACACACACACAATACACCCCTACAATACACCCACACAATACACCCCCACACACACCCACACACACACCCACACACAATACAACCCCACAATACACCCACACAATACACACCCACACAATACACCCCCACAATACACCCCCACAATACACCCACACACACACCCACACACAATACACCCCTACAACACACACACAATACACCCCCACAATACACCCCCACAATACACCCACACACACCCCCACACAATACACCCCCACAATACATCCCCACAATACACCCCCACAATACACCCACACACACACCCACACACAATACACCCCTACAACACACACACAATACACCCACACAATACACCCCCACAATACACCCCCACAATACACCCACACACACCCCCACACAATACACCCCCACAACACACACACACACACAATACACCCACACACACCCCCACACAATACACCCCTACAACACACACACACACACACAAATACACCCCCACAATACAACACACACACAATACACCCCCACAATACACCCACACACACCCACAATACACCCACACCCACACACACACCCACACACAATACACCCCCACAATACACCCCCACAACACACACACACAATACATCCCCATTCCTTAAAATGCACTTTACCGAACGAAATGGATATTTTAAAGAAATACCACGTTCACTGCACTCTCTTAATTATTCGCTAATCAAAAAACCCGCTGGAGGTGGATTTATTTTGATATTGTTGCATCCAATACTTTTAACAAATGGAAAATTAGTATTTTGCACCCCCCCCCCCCCCAAAAAAAAAAAAAGAGGGCATCTTGGATTGAAATAAACTGTATTTTTTAGGAAACTGTACGTTTATTTCTCTCTCTCTCTCTCTTTCATAGTATGTTGTGCTGTGTCCCGATGGGTGTAAAGGGAGGGCTAACGAATCGGATGGGACAAGTCTTATTTTGCGCATCGACTGTCTTGTCAGTCCAGAAGGACTTAGCAATGAGATGCTGTGTGTTGCTGGGAATAAGGATGGATTATTATTGTCCATTTCACCAGCTATTTGCAACGTTACTCACTCTGCAAGTGGGTGTGTGTGTGTGTGTGTATTTTTTTTAAAAAAGTCTTATTTTACCCAGATCTTTGCGCATTTCCAAATGGGCCACACACACACACACACAAAAAAGGGAGTCCTCATCCGACCTGCCATGTATTTTTTCTGGGAGAGAGAGAGAGAGAGAGAGAGCAATGGGTTTTGACACCTCTTTGCCTGACTCTCGATGCTGAAATCTATCAAATATTCAGCTGCAAAAGGAAATGGAGAGGTTCTGTGGTTCATTCGTCTCTCTCTCTTTCCCAAAGGCTGATGTCAATGGGATGACTTCGACTGGGGAGAGGTGTGTGTGTGGGGTGGGGGTGGGGGGGGTGGGGTGGGGGGTTGTGTGTGAATGGGGAGAGATGGTGAGGTTTGTGTGTGGGTGGGTGGGGGGTGGGGTGGGGGGTTGTGTGTGAATGGGGAGAGATGGTGAGGTTTGTGTGTGGGTGGGTGTATGTGGAAGTGGGTGAGTAGTGGGTGAGGGGGTGGGTGGGTGGGTGGATGGGTGAGAAACACACTTCAGATGTAAGGACTGTTTGAGGTTTTGTGTTATCTCTTTAGGCATTTTTGAATTTCAATTTACCAAACCAAATATAACCCCCTTCAGGGATCTCATATGAATATTTCATGAGATGGATGATGTAGGGTTTTTTTTTTTAGTACACACTATAGTGGAACTTTCCGACATGGGCAAAAAATAGAATCACCTTTTTTTCTTGAGATCGCCTCATTTCACGCGGCGTCGGGTTTAAGTCCAGGCGAACCGTGTCAGATTAGTGTTCGTCCAATCTGATACCATCGTTATTGCCACAGAGCGTTCAAGAAAAGTGTTATTTTCTATGTTCTTTTTAGAAATGCATTCCCCCTCCCCACCCATAAGATGTGATTAATGCTCCAATCCTGTGCTGGGGGGGGGGGGGGGGTGCGCTGCCTTATCAGAGACACCGCCCTTTGGATGAGACGTCTAACCGAGTTCCCGTCTGCTGCGGTCGCCTACAAGTACACAGTCACTACACATCCTGCGAAGCGCTTTGAGAAGTCTCAACCACGTGAAAAGGCGCCGTATCAAATGCAAGGGTTACTATCATGACTCCACTGCAGACGATTACCTTGAATCGGTGCTGGACGTGGTTTGTACACGTGCAACTCGGTTCATCGTGTAATTAAGGCTCTCGTCAATGTTCTCACTGAAGCTGAACTGTTGCCTTTCTCAGAGATAACAGGGGAGACAGTGGGAGGCTGCCACCCTGCGGCGGGATCCTGTCATGGCCGGGTGAGGAGACAGACCCGCTCCTTGGATAGATTCCTGTTTTATAGGGAAATAAATGACAACCTACCTCCCCCCACCCACCCAACTCCTGCCCCTCCCGCAACCCCAAATAGCAGGAGAGAACAGAAAACACCTCCCCTGGTCACTGGGAGAGAGTGGGTTTGCAATCCGGAAGCCAGTTTCACCTAGTTCTTTAAAACAAAGTGATTTCCAAACTAAGACCGGATTTATGACTATTGCCTGATATCCGCCTAATCCTAAAATGTTGCGGGTAACTGCTGGAGTCTCACCAGCTAAAAACCGCATAGCTTGCCATTGATATTGCTGTGAGGACCACCCTACCTGTTAGGGCTTTGGCTTGCAGAGTTGGCAGGAGCTGAGTGGGAGGATTCCTTGCCCCCAATGACTGGTCTGCCCTTCTAAGTCCTGCCGATGAGCCAGGCTTTCCAGTGTTCTGCATTCTTCCATGTCTAAGCCATGTACCACAGTGGGAGGCATGCCAAGACCAACACCTGGTTACCTTAAGCAATAGAGTCAATGCAAGTTTACAGGGAGTGTGGGGGGGGGTGGGGGGGGGGTCTGGAGGGGGAAATCGATGTAGAGCATCCATTTATTTCAATTTTAAAGACAGAGTGTACAGTTAAAAATCACCAGGGCTCACATCATTGTCACCACTTCATGAAATATATAATACACAATACTGTCAAAACTTCCAATAATGAGCTTGAGTTGAGACGATGTAAACTGAAGCGATGACACATACAGGTCAAATATGTACAAATCCACTGAAGTGGTACAGTCCCACTTTTTAGTTCAATTTGTGTTTAAGGAGTGCTTAAAAGGGGGGGGGGGGGGAGAGGAGGGAGGGAGGAACACTGCCATCCCAGGGATCCGCAGTCTGTGCTTTAACACCATGAAATATAAACCTACAAAAGCTTTATTTGGCATCTCCCGGTTCACAATGCTTCAAGTATTTCTCTTGGATTATCTCCATGACCCACTCAGTTTCGCCCACAAAACAGTCACTTCATTTTACAGTATATTCTGTGAAGCGCTTTGAGACGTCTCGAAGACAAGATAAGGCGCTATATCAAATGCAAGGATTATTATTATTATTACTAATGCTGAAAACTCCCAACTCCCTTTCCCTTCCTTAGTAAACGATGGACATGGGATAGTTCGGATTGCACAATAGGAAATCATAACTGATTCTGTTCCGTTTCTCTCCTGAAACTAATTACGTTTCTGGAAAGAAAAAAAAAGCTTGAAGCCATGCATGCTGGTCTCTCGTTGCCCGAGGAGGGAGCGGCGGGTCCTCTTCGATCAAAACTTTGACGGTCCCACCCCCACCTCCGGCCCCCCCATCGCCCAACCTTCCACATTACTTGATTCCAACCCCCAACTCGGGTACAAATCCTTAACTGTCCAGCGCCTTGGCACATCCTTCCAACGTGAAAAGCACTGTGTAGATTTGGTTGTGGGGTGGGGGGGAGGGGGTGGGGGGGGGAGTGGGGGTGGAAGAGGAAATCACTGACAATCTGGTGCATTTTCTCCTGGCTTTAGGGCTCTGTGATGCGAGTTAAACAGCCGTGCGGAAACATGCCATGTCTCCCCAAGCCCAGATGTTTAGTCCTATAGATATTTGTGAAGTCAGGGTATTAAGGGGTGCGGAGGCAAAGGGCGGGTAACTGGACTTGAGGTACAGATCAGCCATGATTTTATAGAATGGAGGAACAGGCTCGAGGGGCTGAATGGCCTCCTCCCGTTTCTACGTGCCTGTGTTTCTTTCCATGTTTCTAAACGCAGGTGATGTCGGGAAGCGATACTGATTTCAACGCACTTCAAGTATTGTAACTCAAAGTCTCGCAGGATTATCTTTCAAGAGCAGCTTTGCAGAGCGGTTGCTTTACTGATACAACGAGAGGCTCAAATTATGCCGTGCGGTGAAGTGAGGGCGTGCTTTGATTTCTTCTCCACTTGAAATGTCCTCTCTCTCTCTCTCTCTCTCGCTCTTTCTCTCTCTCCTCTCATCCTGAAGAGGCCTTTGACTCGTTTTTTTTTTTGTCAGGGGAGCCACACTGGATTTGCACGGAACAGGGACTGGAAAATATACACGAAGCAGATCCAGAGGTTTCGCTATCTTAGTGTTGCATAGGTTTAGGTCAACACACAGGCACAGCATCGATCTGAACGACAAGGGTTCGTGTCAGCAAGAAGGCGAAAGGCTCACTGCGGGCGTCTACACATAGAGCAGGAAAGAGCAGCGCTCATCGCACGACTCAGTCACAGAAACAATTTCAACAAGCCAGGAAAAGGGCGGAGAGCGAGAGAGAGAGAGAGAGAGAGAGAGAGAGAGAGAGACTGTGCTCATCAGAAAGACACAGCGCTTAATACAGTACCAGGCAGATGAAAGTCAGCTATTTTACATATTTTTACGTGTGCTTTGCTGGGATGGGCCCGCGCGCGAGTGCATGAGCGAAAAAGCCCGTTAATATCTATCGCTGCAGATTTCAATCGGAGAGTAAACGGCCAGAAACACCGGCACGCGCACACACACACACACACGTGCGCGCGCGCATTGCACACACGCGCGCACAGACAGACAGACACACAGACACACAGACCAGACCAACCGACCGACCGACCACCGGCTGGGTTATTGCACATACGTAGCTCCCATGCGCCAGGGGTATGGGGGAGGACGACAGGACGGGACAGGACGGGACGAGGGCGCTCTTCAATCTGACCACTCGTTCTCATCCAGTTCTGAGTCGTCGTCGGACTCGCTGTACTCCACCGCGATCCGGCGGGACAGGATGGTAGCCACGTCGTTGCCAACCGGCTCCTTCTTGGCCTCCTGCTCCCGCTGTTCCTGGACTTTGCGCAGCTGAATCCCTGCAGCACAGGAGGCAGAGACGTTAATATTAACGACAATGATAAATGCATCATCAATAATGATCAATAATAAATAATAAAAAAAATAATAAATAATAAATCATAACAAATAATAAATCATCACAAATAATAATGATAAATAATAATAATAACAAATAATAAAGAATGATGATAATAATATAACAAATAATAAATAACAAATAATAAATAATAATGATAAATAGTAATAACAAATAATAAATAATAACAAATAATAAATAATAATAGAAATAATAAATCATAACAAATAATAATAAATAATAATGATAAATAATAATTAATAACAAATAATAATAAATAATAAATAATAATGATAATCCGTGCATTTGACATGGCGCCTTATCAGGTGGTTGAGCGGTGACGAGGCGCTGTATCAGATATGCCCCGGGGGTGGGGGGGGGGGGGTTCGAGGTGACTGCGGCTCCGCTCACCTCTGCGGATGGCAGCCAACAGGTCGCTGCGAGCGTCGCTGATCGGCATCAGCCCCACGTTCGATTTCTTCGTGTCGATGAGGGCGGCGAGCGGGGGGCCGGGGTGCAGTGGGGGGCCCGGCGGCGGGGGAGGGGGGGCGGTGGGCGGCCCGGGCGGGGATGGGGTGTAGGACAGGGGGGGAGCGGGCGGGGGGGGCGATGGGGTGTACGTGCGGCCGCTGGCAGCCGCAGCGGCCAGCGGGGGAGGGGCGGAGATGGGGCTGTCGAAGGCGGTTTGGGCCGAGGGGATGAGGGGCGGGGGAGGGGGGGGGGCGGGGGCCGGAGGGGCGTAGTATTCCGCCAGCTGCATGGCCTGGGCGCTGCGGAGACAAAAACCCAACGGGAGAGAATGTTAGTCAACGTACAATTGACGGGCAGTGAGGTCCTGACCTGGTCCTGCCTGCGGTGAAATCGTTCCCCCCCGAGGGGAGTGGGGGGCCGGATGCGGCCCGCGGGCCACCAGTTGGACCACCCTTGCCCTACGTGAAGGCTGTTGCTGACGGCGTCGTTGCCCATCGTGTCCGGACACACCCTGGAGCCTCCTCACCTGTACTCCTTGAGCAGCTGTGGTCGGGGCCCGTTGAGTGTGGCCTCGGGGGGCTGCGCCGGGTGCGAGGGCGGCTGGGCTCGGGTCAGCGACGCCTGCCGGATGCCGGCGGCTGGCAATCTGAAGCCTCGCTCCTGGGCCTGGGTCACGGCCGCCAGGAGTTCCTTGTTGTCCGGCATCGGGAACAGGGCTGGAACGCTGCCCTGCTGGGCCGGGTGGTTGGGGCTGGCCGGGTAGGAGAGCTCCGCCGCGTCGGAGATGTACGACCTGGGTTTTGGGAGAGAAGGGAGGGGGGAGGGAGGAGGGGAGGAGGGATGAGGCGGAGGAGGGAGGGAGGAGGGGCGGGGGGAAGTGAGAGGGACATGTTATTGGCCTCCATGATTGGCCACAGAAGCTACTGAGTTACTATGAAGCGTATCAAAGACAAACTACCTCTTACTCCCCAACCCACCCAACGGTTGGCTCCACTCGACTCGCTCCGGCCTCCTGGCTTCTCCCTCTTGCCCTCCTCCGTTCCGCCATTGTTGACTGGGCTTTCAGCCACGACACCCCCCCCGAACTCTGGAACTCTTTCCCCTCTATCTCTCCGCCTCGCCCCCCTCCTTCCCCATCGTCAGGTCGCGCCTGAAGACCTTCCTCTTCAACTTGTCTATGGTCTCCTCCCGCCCGTCCCCTCCCCTCCCCCCGGCTCTGCTTCCTGCTCCAGCGCAGTCCAGCACTCTGGGACGTTAGGCTGCGTGAGGGGCACTGTGTAAATGTAAATTGTTGTTGTTGAGTATTGGAGACAAAGCCCGAGTGTCAGAGACTGACCTGGTGTCCGGGGAGACGGAGCCTTCGGAAGACGTGGCATGGTAGGGAGATGGGGAAAACCTGTGATCGGGTCTGAACTCTTTGTCTCGGGCCATCATGTCCCACTCCTGTCGGCGATTTCGGGCTTTGCGAACCTTCTTGACCTCTCGCGTGGCATCTTCCACAAGTTTCTGCTCCTGGGAGGGAGATGGGATGGAGGAAGGGAGGGAGAGAGGGAGGGAGGGAGGGAGGGAGGGAGCGAGGGAGACAAGGAGATAGGGAGGGAGACAAGAAGACAGGGAGGGAGTGAGTGAGGGAGGGAGTGCAAAATTAACTTGTTTCACATCAGATCTTTGAACAAATCACAAGCCTTGACTTTTCTTGTCGTCGAAACTATCGAGTTTAGTGACTGAGTATTTTGTAGCCGACTGTGAGAGATTGTTGGCCGGGACAAATGTTGGCCCGGGAGAGGGAGCTGGAGGTGACCATAGGCACGGCCGAAGAAGTAAGTCTTAAAGAGGGATTTAAAGATAGATAAAGGGGGTGGGGGGGGGGACGAGGCCAAGGGGTGGGGGCGAGGCCAAGGGACTTCCAGAGGGTAGCGGCTGAAGGTACGGCCGCCAATGGTGGTGCGGAGGGGACCAGTAAAGAAGCTTTCATTGATGGGAGAGGTTCGTTGCTTGGAAAAGTACAAGGGTTTGATGATTCACTCTGACTCCTGCCTCTCTGTCTATTTACAGCACATTGGTCAACCCTATCCAATCTATTTCCATTTACTTTGCTAATTGGATGGACTGTTGTACCGGTGCATTACTCAGCTGCTGACAGTGTCGGGCAGCTGAAATGGAAATTGAACTGTTGGCAGGTTCCAGGCGCTCGTCTAACCAGGAAATCCATTCAGAGAAAAAAATCCAATTAAAACCCTCAGGAACTCGCTCACGCTCACACGCTCACATAAGCCCTCACGACTCATTCACGTGTACACACTCACCTCAGTGCATCTCGACACACTCGCATCAATGCACATCCTTGCACACACGTCGTTGTATACACACGTGTGACTTATTATCACTGGCACACACAAACAAACACGCAGGTTGGAACATGTGTTTATTACAGGAACACAAATCCTTCCCTTTCCGCCTCGTTACCTTCTGTCTCCGCTTCTCTTTCCGCTTGTCCTCCGTAGCCTGTAGCATCTTCTCTTTCCATAAATTGAAGAAATAGGAGGAATCCGTGTAAAACTTCAGCCCATCTTTCCTGTCGTCCCTACGATAACAATCAGAAATGTCAGATATCCTTTCAAATCGATAATCATAAGGGAACTTACATAATAATAATAATAATAATAATAATCCTTGCATTTGATATAGCGCTTTAACACGTTGTTTAGTATCAAAGTACTTCACAGGTTTTACTCCAAAGCGTAGTGACTGTATACTTTGTGGGTGAAACGCTGCAGACAACTGTGCTGCACGGTGTTGGGAGGGTTTGAACTCGCTCCGTCCACCACAGACCGCAGCCCGGCTCCATCCTGCCTCTGCGACCCTCTTCTAACCTGGTCATTCCCTCCCTCCGCTCAGCAAACACTGACCTGCTTCACATCCCCTGCCCTGTCCACCCCGACATCGCGGGAGGAACGAGCTTTCAGCCATTCTGCTCCCATTCCTTGGACCTCCATCCCAGAGGTCCTCTGACTCACGCCCCCACCCCCTTTCTCCCTCTCCCCCGCTTTCAAAGCCCGTCTCAAGAGTTTTTGATCGCGCTTCCAGTCATCTCTCTCTCTTTCTCTTTGTCGAGATCAGCAAACTCGAGGGCTTTGAAAACGTCCTCCCAAAGTGAAAGGCGTCTTGGATTACCTGTAGGGAGTGAGGATGTTGAGAGGCGGAGGCTTGTCACACTGTTGGTACATTTCCAAGGCGGGATTCGGGATAGTGTTGCGGGAAACCACCTGCTGATCCTGAATTGTGGAACTCTTGAACGCTTTCCTCATGTTGATATCCTGCAGCGAGACTGGAAACAGACAAGCACAGAGCTTACAGGGGACCTGCCAAGGGTTCCCGTCTCCACAATTGCCCACGTTTCGCCCACAAATACACAGTCACTCCACTTTACGGTATATCTAGGTCCTCTCTCACTGACCTTCCTCCACCGTTGAGTCCAGTTGGGTGACTTTGATCGCCAGGCAATCGATTCTCTCCTGGAGGGAATTCACCCGAATGCAGAAATGGTTTGCTTCGTTAAACAGCTCCCCGAATATGTCCTCGGCGTGTCTGCCTGCGAGAGGGAAGGTGAGGGTGGGTCAGTCAGATGTGGATCGGGTACAACAGAGGCATTCACAAAACTCGCAGCGAGAGGTCAGGTCCAGGGTGTCAGTCAGGACTGGGCAAAATATTTAAACATCTGATTAAATAAGATAATAAATATTTACATATTCCCCGTCTCCAGGCCTTCCTGTTTGACCATCCTGTGTCATTGACTTACTGAGGCTCCCGAGCTGTTGAATGATGGAGGCCAGAGTACTGTTGGTCACACACTCCAACTCGCTGGTGACACCGTCTGGTAAAGCCCCACGGCACAGGTGCCGAGGCTCAATGATCCTCTTTATCAGCGGCATCTTGGCTTCAAACCCGCCTCGATTCCCTGCGGCAGAGAACGTGGGCAAAGCACAGTGAGACGCAGGCCATCCCTGGAACCTGAGCTAGTTCATGATAGCGGTCGTTGCTCTAACCAACGGAACCAGAAACTTAAGCTTAACACCAAAGTTCCGGGACGCTAACCTGCATGAGTGGCACTACATAAATGCAAGCTGTCGTTGTTGTTGCTGTCGTCGTCGTTGTTGTTGTTGTTATTGTAGGTGTGTGTTAAATGCTCCGAGAAGCTACTCTGCAAAGAAGGGCCCTATATAACAAGTTGTTGTTGTTGTGTGCGTGTGTGTGCGCTCCAATTAGAATTTTGCTTTATGTTGGTCAATGCAACAATGGCTCAGTTGGTAGTGCTCTCGCCTCTGAGTTGGAAGGTTGTGGGTTCAGGTCCCACGTCGGGGTCTTTCAGCTCATATTATCTAGGCTGACAGTCCAATACAGTGCTGGGGGGTGGGGGAGGAGGGGGAGGAGATTAGGCGCTGCATCAAATGCAAGGATTATTATTAATTATCATTATTATTAACCATTCCCTTGACGTGAGCTAAGCGCTGTTCTGCTTCATGTCTTATTTTCAGCCAATCTGTGGCTTTAGTCTTCTAACTAAATGCACTGCGATTTTAAATTAGACATCGACACAGTTCATTATCACCGCAAAATTAAATTAGACACAGGGAAATAATTACATTGCAATAATGTCCATCCCTGTGGTGGGGCGATGGGGGTGGGTGAGGGAGAGAGGAGGGGGAGAGGGAAGTAGCGAGTTGGCTAAGCTACACGTACAGAACAAGATACGACAGCGCTAGACCCGTATCAATGAGCAATGACCAGTAGAAAATCCCTAAACCAGCACCCCTCAACCCTCACCCTCACTCGCCCACCACAAGGCCTTAGACAACCTGCTTAACACAGTCAATAATTCCCAGACAGTCAGAAGACAACAATCCATCAATACGTGAGTCAGCTTCCTCTGACTGTGAAGTTCACGCTGAATACATTCGAGCATTTGATTCACAGCGTCAACCGTGTCGGAATTGGATGAGGGGGAAAAGAGGAACACACACTTTACATCGTTCGTATAAAGCGTAAAACAAAGCATATCACATCAGGACTTTGACTTCAATGCAGTCCGTCCGGGCTGACCCACTCCAACAACCCAGTTTAACACCGTTTAACCGAAGGATGGCACCTCTGACAATATAGGCCTCTGACTCCCTCCCCTCACTTCTACACTGTAGCATCAGACTAGACGGTCAGCTCAAAGTCCCGAGGTGGGGCTTGAACCCACAAAGGCCAAGACTGCATTCTACTCACTCACTGGATATTAAGTTCCCTACTTGTAAACGTCTTTCTCAACTGTTATTTATTTGCCACGCACTTGACTGCACTCAATGACAGCCCTATGCATGCTTGAAGTTGTCATTGACCGCAGTCAACGACAATGTTAAGATTAAACTAAATGGACAGACTCCTCTAGACACAGACGTGCAGAGTAACCCTGATTTTTTTCCCGCCCCCCCCCCCAGCAATTTTTCTTTCCAGTGCATCCGAGTTTGTGCCTTAATTCCGCGCCGCATCTAAGCGCAGTTTCAATTGGCAGCCGCGTTCTCCCGCAAAGCGCACAGTCGCTACAGTTTGCATCGAATCCCGAGAAGCACTTTGAGGCGCGTTTCTGACGTGAAAGGCGCTGTATCAATTGCAAAGATTCTTATGATAATTGTGCCAGGTTCCTCTCTACAATCAACAACAACAACAACAACAACAAGAAGGCTCTGCGAACCCCAGAGTGTGCGAATCAGTAGAACGAAGACCAAATTGGAATTCCCTCACGGGAATCAATTGCTGTTCCTTTGGATTTGGGTGAAAGGAGCCGTTCATTCATTGACCGGGAATTCTCATTCGAGTGTTTGGCCACAGGAGGGCACCAGAGCCAAACTTGAATGGGTCCTCACCTAAAACCATCATCATCATCATCATCGTCATCAACAACAACTTGCATTTATGCAGCACCCTTCACACAGTGTAGCACAGCCGAGCGCTTAACAGTGGCGGAGACTGACGTCGAGCTGGGGAGAAACGGGAGAGCGAGACCGTGAGCGCGGTCCAAAAGGGAAGGTCTTCCTTCAGGTGTGATCTGAAGACAGGCAAACAAGTGGAGGGATTGAGGCAGAGGGTTCCGGAGTCAACGACTGCACCGGTTCGCACTTGTAAACCGCACTTTCTGATTGGAAAACATCTCAAACTTCTCCTCAGAAACAGCAACAGCCTAAGGTGGTGGGTAGGTTTGGAGTGGTAGGAATCCCCCTTCCCCCGTATTCTCTCCCTCCTCACCCCCGCACCCCCACCCCCTCCCCACATTACTGGCCCAAATAGCACATCCCGACTTTTCTTCGGTCAATGAACCACATGGAGCTGTCTGACAAAGGACCAGAGCCTAAAATGGGATTCCAGCCTTGGAAGCATTCCCTATATCCATTCACATTTGTGTGAGTGGTCTCTCTCTCCCTCTCTCCCCTGTGACATTGGCTATACCCCTGGCCTGTCGACAGTCACGGTGATGTGCGATGACATTTCCACTGAAAGCTTAACCATTGAGACGCTTTCTCGGCAGATATCTCGAGTGACGAGAGCCGATTACTGCCAGGATACATTACAAAGCCGGGTTTCCGTTCCTCTCTACTGCGTATTGACTTCACGCCCAAGCTGCATTCCCTTTGCTGTCATCCCCTGCTCTTGTGCAACTGCACTCAGCATCTTAAAGAGTTCGGATACACTCATGAGGTCCCTGGTCTTGTCTTCCCCCTCGTTCAACCGGTGACATTGGGATTACGTATTTATATAATCAAAGTGCTAAGAGATCTAGAACTCTCTCCCCCAAAAGGCTGTGGATGCTGGAGCCATTCATATTTTCAAGACTGATCTCACAGAATGGGCGGGCACTTCAAAGCGCTTCGCAGGATATACTGTTCAGGTGCAGTGACTGTCTGTTTTGTAGGTGGATCGCGGCCCGAGCCAAGGTCAATATCTTGCCCTAGTCTCACCGTGCACAGTCCATCAATGGAAGTTACCGAACTACTCAACAACTCAATTCATTTCCGCGCTTCATCCAACATGCACAAACGAGGTCAAAAATGCCACGTTTCATAACAGAAAAAAGGCAATTCTCTGTCTTGATGGTCTCCCTGTTTCCAGCCTCCAGTCTGACGCCTACAGTAATCCATTGCCCTGTAATGATGCACCTGACGGCAATCAGCACAAGTTGAAGCATTGATCGCCAGCACATTCACGGGTAAGGCATATTTTCCCAGTCAAGTAAACGTGTCACGTTCCTTTACCCTAAGCATCAAAGTGATTTAACACCGAATTACAGTGTTTTACAGCATCTGCAACAGGGTTGACTAAGGGAGGTGTAACGATGGATGAACAGAGCTGTATTTCGCTTGATGGCCTCGGGGAATCAGCAAATAACAAGGGTAACAGTGATCTCTGCAGCTGATATAAGTGGCTTTTCACCCCTTTGAAACATCTCGACGCACTTGGCAGGGTGTTCTGTTCGCCGCAAAGTGTAGTGACTGTGTATTTTGTAGCAGAACGCGGCAGCCAATTTGAACGTCCCGGTAAAACAGACACCAAAACAGTCAGGTTCGCGCCAGACAAATGAGTGACATAGGATGTAAAAGAAAAGAAATCTCTCTCTCTCTCTCTCTCTCTCTCCCTCTCCCTCTCGGCGTGTCAATGATTGAATACTTTGCTTGCAAACCATTGCCAGATATTTAATATGCCCGTACACATAAATTACAGAAATGGCGTTGAGGGCTGGAACATGATCTTTGAAGCTATAGGTTTCTGAATGATTTGTTGTACAAATGAGCACAGAATAACAGAACAATTGCTTCTGTGACTCCCACTCAAACAGCCTGCGAGTGGCGGTGCGAGAGTATCTCACCTCAACATTTAAGATTTTGCCTTAAAACACCGAGTTGTTGAAAATTCTTCATTTCGGACTTGGTTTTCAGGTCGTGTTTTTTTTTTAGGGCGCGCAGAACGACGAGAATTTTCCGCGCACCATTCCGCACAGAATCGTAAATTCATTTGAAGTCAATCCATCTCGCAGTATATTCTGCAAAGTGCTTTCGGGACGTCTCTACGGCATGATAAAACGCGACATAATAATAACACGATAATTCTCGCAGTTTATCGAATGCAAGGATTATTATTATTACACTATTATTTAAATCCCCTTGAAACCCTCAGTCTGGTTTTGGAGACTGTTAAGCACGGCGATGCAGGGTGTCAAGACACCTAGCTGATCGAACAAAAAAAAATCCATCCGCGTGGGTGTGCATTTCTCTAGAGATTTGAAGTGCCTTTGCGCTTCCACTGAGAGTTTGCCCGGGGCCATCAGTAGCTCTAAACACATATCAATGCCTCGTCGTAGTGGAGTCAAGGGCGCTGAGTAGTGAGTCAGGTCACAGGTGTAGCAGCATTCCAGCCATGGCTGCGTAGCAAGGAATGTGACATTGGCTCAAACGCTATGCAGGTTGTTTTACGCTGACGGCAATAAAATAATAATAAGGATAACGCCTCATCACGTCGTTGATGTACTGCAGAGTGCAGCGACTGTGTACTTGTGGGCAAAACGCGGCAGCCAATTGCGCACAGCCAAACAGTCGTGGATTGAGTGACCAAATTATTATTATTTTTTAAAGGGACTATTACCCCCGGAAGGCGATCCAGCAATCCACTAACAACCGGGTTTCTACTTACTGCGAGCTAAACAGGCGGGAGGAGTAAGGAAGCTTGCCTAAGGTTTCGCCCCGCCCGGGAATTGAACCCAGGTCCTCTCGCTTTGTGAGGCCAGCGCTCTAACCACTACCCTATATTAGGATCTATATTAGGATCTCTGAGGTAGAAACCTGGTTTATAATGTAGTCTTTTGTGCCTGATCCCCTGATTAGGTGTAGAGCTCCAGAACATAACAATTATTTCACACGTTATTTCCAAGTGCCAGTTTTTTTAATGAGATTTTGTCGCCTCGATGCATCTGAATTAAGGATGAAAATTAATCTTTTCTTCACTTCTCTCAGGTGCTGGAATGGTAAATCTGCACACGGGCAGCCAGCAACTCATTTATTTATTTTTGGGGGGGGGGGGGGTGGGCGGAGGGGAATCTAAGCAAACCAGATGCTTGAATAGCAAATAACATAACAAAGCCGCTCTGTGAATACTATGTTTTAAACTCCCTCCTTCCCGTGTCTACACCCTGCCCCCATCTTCCCCCGCCCGTCTCTCTACCCCCCTTCCCCCTCCCGTTATCCCTCGCACCCTCTCCTCTTCTCCCCCCGATCCCCATCCTCTTCCCCGCATCCCTCTCTCCCCCGCACATCCCTCTCTTCACTCCCCCCCACTTCCCTCTCTTCACTCCCCCATTCTTCTCTCCTCCATCCCACCTTTCCCCCATCCCCCTTTCCCCCCATCCTCTCCCCCCCCATCTTCTCCCCCATCCTTTCCCCCCATCCTCTCCTCCCTCATCACCACACCATTGCCACACATTTCCTTTGGGTGCTCTCTGTCTTCTCGACTCTAGTCCACAGCTGATTGATGCCAGCTGAAAGTCACACTGGAAAATCCAATAGAATTATAATAAGCTGTGCTGCACTGAGTGCAGATGACCTTGAACGAGACTGCAGCTCTGATAGTTCGTGTTGTTTCCTGGAAATTGAACCATTTATTCCAGCCGACTCCGGGTCAAATTCCCTCCCGACGCTCTCCGCGCTGACTCTACTCTTGATCTGTTTCGTTGAACCGCAGGCACCACAGTCACTACACTTAAGAGCGATTAGTCTATCTCAAAGTTCTTTCCAGTCATCGCTTTCAAGTGACTGTTTTTGTGGGCAAATAGAGCAGCTATTTTGCGAGTAGGAAGTTCTGACAAATGGCTATAAGATACCAACAATTTATCTGGAGGATTGTTGGCCAAGAGACCGTGAGGAACTCCCTTCTTTTTTCCAATAGCGTCATGGGATCTTCAACAGTGAGAAGTTTTCTTAATGAGATTTCATCTCATCGTGATGCCTGATGGAAGGATTAACCGCTGCTGACTTACTGTCGTGATTTATCCAGAGGTGGTTGAACGCTCATTACATAGAGGCTGGATACCATTGCACGAGTGACATTCCCTCGCAGGCTTGTCAAGGAATCGGGAAGATTCGATTTAGACTTTCTCTTAATTACTCGTCACAGATAAATCCAATAAACCCAAAAGCTCAGCAATCACAGAGCATTGGTTACAGGGGCAGATCATCCTAATCAGTCAAAACTGAAGAGGAGAAGCAGCATTGAAGAGGTGGGGAAAGAAGAAATGTGCAAGAAAAAGACTGGGCAAGCCTGGCCTATCCATCGCTTGACAATGCTGGTGTCTTGCTGCATGTTAAGAGAGATGAACTCCAATAACAATCTTTGCATTTGATATAGCGCCTTATCACATCGTTGAGACGTCTCAAAGCGCTTCACAGGACATATAGTGTGAAGTGAATTGACTGTATATTTTGTGAATGTACAGAAACTCCCTTCTCTTTTCGAATAGTGCCATGGGATCTTTAACATCCACCTGAACCAGGCAAATGGGACCTCGGTTTAACGTCTCATCCGAAAGACGGCGCCTCCAACAATGCAATATCCTCCCCCTCACCCCCAGTTTAGCACTGGAGCATCAGCTTAGATTAATTGAGTTCAAGTAGTTTGGAAACCCTTAAGAGATGGGTTTCCGCGCTTGTCAGTCACCAATTTTGGCTGCCCAAAATAAGGGAATTCAATTCAGGAATCACTGTGAGCATTCATGACCGCACATAAATGCTCACATTGATATCCAAGCTGCTCTCTTCGGACCTTGGTAGACAGTAGAAGGGTCACGTTATGCTTCGGCCTTATGCCAGCAATCTGTCTTGTGTCCTGAAGCAACATCTTGGTCAATTATCTGGTCTAGGTATCATCAAGCCCTGAAATTGTATTATTTACCCTGTCCTTGCGAAATGCGCTTTAATTTTCAAATCCACTTTCCTCAAACGTAAATCGTTTCTGCTTTCGCTCTAACAAACCAGTCAGCGGCTCAATTAATCCATCACTTTTACAAAGAGCCTTTCAGAGGGATAAACATGATAGAGCACCTCGGGACTTTGAGCTTGCAGTGCAGGCTGATACTCCAATGCCATGCTGGGGTTTGGGGGGGGTGGAGGTGGGGGGGGGGGGCTGCACTGTCAGAGGTGCTGTCCTTCGGATGAGACGTTAAACCGAGATCCCCTTGGAACTGAGCAGTCTACGAGGAAGTAGTAAGAGGTAGTTCTAAACTCCTTCACGTAGGAACTTTAACAGCCAACAGACTAAGGAGGCCTTTATATTGGCCTTGATGTTAGCCTGGACTAGAGCTACAGCCAGCTCCAAGAGGTCCTAACCCCAATGTACAGCCCTGCCCCTCAATATCACACAACTGGGGGGAAGGAATTCCACCCAGATCTAGATTTACTCTATTTATGTAGCGTTTTAGAGCATTTGGAACAAAACACACAGTCACTACACTTTACAGTAAATCCCGTAAAGCGCTTTGAGACATCTCGGAGATATAATAAGGCATTGTATCAAATGCGAGGAGTGATCTCAATGTGTCATCATCTCTCGCCATTTTTTCACATGTGCCTTAAAGTGCTACTCCGCTGGTGTTTGACAATACTGGTGTCCCTCACACTCACAGGATTATGTGTAGGTATGTGGGTGGGGGGGGTGGGGGGGTGGGGAAGAGGGGTAAAGTACCCTTTAAAACGTGCAAAGAAACACTCTACGAATTTGCTTACAGCCCCAGACGGCAATTACCTGCGAGAAGTCTTTGCAGACGTTTCCTAGTTTCATAGCCAACTGCGGTGCCCAATTGGCTGCCGGGTTTCGCCCACAAAATATATAGTCGCTAAACTTTACAGTATATCCTGTGTGTAGCGTTTTGACACGTCTCGACGACGTGATAAGGCGTTGTTATTATTATTATCGTTATTAAATTTGTGTAGCGAAAATGCCAAGATTATTACAACCCGAAGAGAGATCGACACGGTTTCCCTATCTGTCAGGTCTCTGATATTTTGGGTCATTTTGTGTGGAAACTGCAGCTGAGCCTGACCCAGTTTCCATGACAGCTGAGGGACGGACAGAGACAACGGGCTTAATAACTCATCTGCCAATGTACTTTACCCTGGGCAACCTCGCAGGGGGATGATCTGGGAGGCTTACTCCCCCTAAACATGTCGACAGATGAATTCAGAGGGTTCTCCACACACACACGCACCAAAAAAAACATTTTTTGTCTCCAGGATGGCAAAAAAAATGCAGTGCCAATTGGGGAAAGTGGCAGATGGTTGGCGTTTTCATGGGAAACTTTCTGATTAACGCTTTACAGTACCTACCGTGTACACTGCTCGGGGTATTTGCCTGTGATGCAATGCATTGTGAAGCAACACATCAGAACTGCCGCACAGTCAAACATTTAATCTGTAGCCTCCGACTGAACGATGGTTATCGACGGGGGGAGATGGACGTGTGTGTGGGGAGGGGGTGGCCATAAACCGGGACCCACCCCACCCCCACCCCGAACTCCCCCAAATAAAAACTGGTCACTCAATGCACGACTGGTTGTGTCAATGATTACATTAATCGCAATAATCCTTCCGCTTGATGTAGCGCCTTTCACGTGGGAGGGGCGTCTCAAAAGCACTTCGCAAGTATTTTACTGTAAAGTGTAGTGACTTGTGCATTTTGCAAGCGAACACGGCAGCCAATTTATGCACGGAAACATCTGCGGAGTAAACGCCTCATATTGTTGTTGGCCAGGACACAGGGAGAGAAAAACTCCCTTCTCTTTTCCGACAGCGCCGCGAGATCTTTAACGTCCACCCGACCAGGCAGACGGGAGCTCGGTTTCACCGTAGGATGGCACCTCCGACAATACGTCGCTCTCCCCCACCCCGGCGCCTGAATGGAGCGTCAGCCTAGACTATGAGCTCAAAGTGCCAACATGGGGGCTTGAGCCCCCAACCTTCTGACTGGTGACGAGACAGCACTACAGTACTAGGGCTGAGGCACCAATTAGCATTGGCAGAACATTGCAGAGAATGGATTTTTTTCTCTTGGTCAACCGGGTGTCTGACAGCGCACGGAAACCCATCGCCGTTGCTTAAGTGTCTCCAATCCAAACTGAGAATTCCATGCATCCCACCTACACACATAAAAATCCCAGGGATAGAATTCCCTTTCATCCCCCCCACCCACACCCCTCCCTCTTGAAGGGAATGAAAGAGGGGGGGGGGGGGAGAGCTGAAAAGTTGAGGAAAGTACAGCCATAAATAAATGTCTCAAATAGGTGTTGACCCAACAACTGGAGCCTGGGCTGCACACAAATCCTATTAAACCCCATCCTATAATGTGAAGATCACTTCTGGGAGGCATATATATATTTTTTTTTTGGGGGGGTGGGGGGGTTGGTATTGATATATGAATCAGCTGTTAGATCGGAAACCAGGACAAGGGCAAAAAGGGAGTTGATGCATCCCTCCCTGGACACCTCCAACCAGGCGGATCCCCTCTCCCTCCCTCTCTCCCTCTCCCCCTCTCTCTCTCTCTCTCTCCCTCCAACCTCCTAATTCAGAGATGCTGATGGATGGTTGAGATTTAGCTCAATCTCAGGCATTTGGTTGTGGGGGAATGGATGGATGGATGGATGGAAATGACCAGCTTTGATGCAACCACAGGAACAAGATTGGTACCCCACCCCCCCAACCCCCACCCACCCCCCCCCACACACACACACACACACCCCCACACACACACACACCCCCACCACCGCCCTCCCAATTCCTCCTCCATCCCCATCCTCATCCCCATCCTCATCCCCATCCTTTTGGTACCTGTGCTCCTGTGATGGTGATGATGATGTTGGGAGGAGAATCAGAGATGCTTCAAGGCATCTCGGCTCCCCAGCCTCTGGCTGCTGTCAACGCCTTTTCCCTTCCCGATCGGTTCATGTCTGTCTGTCTGTCTGTCTGTCTGGCTGTCTGTCTGTCTGTCTGGCTGTCTGGCTTGGATGGCTGTCCCAATCCCGGGCACAATACTGTGCAGCTCAGCGGTCCGCAGTCACAGGCGCGCATGCGAGAGCTCTCTCTCTCTCTCTCCTCTCTCTCTCACACTCACACACACACACATAAGCCCTGGGAACCATCACCCACTTGTGAACACCAACTTAAAAGGGCAACACACCATCTCATAACACACACACACACACCACTCAACACACACACACACTCAACACACACCACTCCCCAATATACACACACACTCAACACACACACACACACCACTCAACACACACCACTCCCCAACTCACACTCACACACACTCAACACACACACCACTCAACACACACACCACTCAACACACACCACTCCCCAACTCACACTCACACACACTCAACACACACACACCACTCAACAGACACACACACCACTCCCCAACTCACACACACACTCAACACACACACACCACTCCCCAACATACACACTCCACACACACACACAGACACACCACTCCCTAACACACACACACACCACTCCCCAACATACCAATCAACACACACAACACCCCAATACACACACACCACTCCCAACTCACACACCACTCAACACGCACACACCACTCTCCCAACACACTCAACACACCCACACACACCAAATTACTAGATTACTAGACATTTAGAGATTACTGCATTGTGTATGTTTCAAAAGAGACACGTTTTCTCTCACGCTGACTGGGAGAATGAATCATTTCTCTTTCTCTAACAGGAGCCGTGTGGTACTAACTGAATGCAATAATAATAATAATTGCAATAATAATCTTTCCATCTGATATAACACCTTTCACGCCTGGAGGTTGTCTCAAAAACGCTTCACAAGATTTTTACTGTAAAGTGCAGTGACTGTGTATTTTGTAGGCAAACGCAGCAGCCAATTTGCGTACAGCATCGCCCCACCAACACCCACGAAGAGTGTGACCGATTCTATTTGTGGGGCGAGAGGGGGGGCAACACACAAATATTGCTTACGCGGTCCGCGGACATTTCTCAAATAGAGCATCCGGCCCTCAGCAGCCAAAAGGTTGGACCCCACTGGGTTAGATGATACGCTATTCAGTTGGAAGTTGAGCATCTTCTGTGTCCAATTTCCTAGCAAGGTTATACGGTATAGCAAGCCAACCTAGATAATTGCTGGAGCCTTGCCAAGAGGAGATTGGGTTTTGAAGGGTCGATTTATCACTGAGCTCACAAAGCCTGGAAATGAATGATGGGCAGTCACAAAAGGATTACTCTTTCACATCTGGGATCTGGGTCTAGATCCAACCCAGACAGATGGCCTGATAGTCTCCATCGTCCCCAGTGATTGAGTATCGGGTAGACTTGATCCACACTTGGCACGTGACATCCGAGGCATTTGACCTCACCTCTAGCCCATGTTAAAATGTAAAAGGTGTTCAATTTCCCCCAGGGATAAACCCAACCCTCGCCTTAACGGCCAACAATCATTTTGCTAATTATAATAATCCTGGCATTCGATATAGCGCCTCATCATCACTCATCATTCAGCCAACTCAAAGCACGATATAAATGCAATTGGTTGTTGTTCCCAAAGCCGCTGTGGATACGGAGAGTAATCAGGAGAGGGTCCGTATTTTGTAAACTGTGAAAGGAGATTCGCTTTGCAAGCTCCAGCGGGTACCTGCTGAGGTGCGAATGGGAATCGATCATTCAGCGGAGTTTCAGACAGCTCGTGTCCGAGAGAAACGCACGGTCGTCTCTGTCGCCGAGCGAACCAGATAAACAGAACTTGCTGTATGGTCTCAAACCGGTTCACGGTGTGCACACAGCAGGACTCAAATTTGCGGGTTGTGTTGATCATGTGCACAGAGGAAAGTGCGGGTGCCCCTACTGATGTAACGAAGAACCGATAGAGAAGACAAAAGGAGACTTTGATTGACAGCTGTCAATTGCCTTTGATCCGTGGCTGCTTTGAAGGGCCGGGTTGGCTGGGAACCATTGCCTTGCAAGCCGGGAAATGGCGGCTTTTAACATGATCACAGCGCGGGCGGGCTGCCGAGCGCGGGGGGGGGGGGGTGACTGGTGGTGGAGGAGGAGGTGGGGGGGGGGTGATCTGTTTGAATTAGTTTAAGCGGCACGGTCTTCAAATAGAAGCGGTTTGGTGATCATGGCGTTGCTATGGTGATGGGCAAAGACTGAGGATCTTTTTTCCGCAAGACAACTGAGCACTCCCTCTGCCCCCCCTCCCACCCCACCCCCCCCCCCCCCCCCCACCCCTCACTGCTTTCAGTTCACAATCTGTAGAGGATTCGCCCCTGGGGGAGCGGCGGGGAGGTTTGCTTACTGGGGGCTGTGGGGAAAGGGTGTCTCCAACTCTTGTAGATATTCCTCCCCCCTCCCAACGCCCCCCACTCTGCTTGGTGCGCTGGTTCCACCCCTCCACCGACCAGTGTCCATCACCCCACCACCACCACCACCACTGTAGTAAATGTCTTTGAAGAGAAATGTGGCCACATTCATTGTGTGTTAGCCTGGCTCTCGCCTCTGAGTCAGAAGATTGTGGTTTCAAGCCCCCACGTCGGGACTTGAACTCACACGGTCTAAGCTGATGCTCCAATGCAGCGCCGGGGGGTGTGTTGTATTGTCGGAGGTGACGTCCTTCAGATGAGACGTTAGGTCCAGTCGGCCTGTTCAGGTGGACGGTAAAAATCTATTCGAAAAGAGAAGGGAGTTTCTCTCTCTCTCTCTCTCTCTCTCCCAGTGTCCTGGCCAACGACAATTCCCCCAAGTAGTACTGGTCACTTTCTCCGTGGCTGTTTTGTGGAGCGTCGCTATGCCCAATTGTGCTGCTGCGTTTGCCTGCAAATACACAGTCACTGCATTTCATAGTAAATCCTGTGAAGCGTTGACCAAATGTGACCAAATTATGATTATTATTATTATTATTATTATTATTTTTTCCTGTATTTATTTTTGAAGGGATATCACCCCTGGAAAGCGATCCGCTAATCGACTAACAACCAGGTGTCTAGTCACTGTCAAGTCTCGGGGACACAACATTTATTTTGTTTCAAAGAATAGAAAATTGACCAAGTTACTGGGGCGCATTGGCGGGTGGTGGGGGGGGGGGGGTGGGGTATATTATTGGATGTCTCTGATGTGGTTTCCATGGAAAGGAATCCTTTCAACCCTGTTGCGCATTAGAGAAACACCATGGCAACCACACAGCGCCCTGAGATAATCATGTGGTTAGTTACACACTGCACAAAAGGGCTGATTCTGGAAGGTTTGACTGCAATTTCTGAGATGCACAACAGCGCTCACGTACAGAGGATTACAGTGCACTTTTTTTCACAGAAGAAAATCCCCATTAAATGATTCTCTGTACTGATACCACTGTCAGCGTCTGTTCATCACCAATTGCCCCTCCTCCATCCACTGCCCCTCATCCAACATCAACTTACATTTACACAGCACCCTTCACACGGGCAGTGTCTCGGAGCGCTTAACAGTGGGGGAGCCTGACACCGTGCCGGGGGAGGGAGGAGATGACCGTAAGCACGGTCGAAGAGAAAGGTCTTCAGTCATCATCTAAACAAGGGGTAGGAGGAGGCAAGGTGGAGGGATTGGGGGAGAGAGTTCCTAAGCCAACAGGTATATCTGTGTTTGTGTGTGCGCGTGTGTACAGGATGTTCACAAAGTCCTGTTAAGCCCCCGTTTTCTTTTCTTACAATGAATTTTTATTTTCTGTTGCAGATGAGTGAGTGTGACGATGTCTGATGCCAGTAACTTCCTCGTCACTCCGTCCATGTTACAGAAAATGGGACAACGAACATGGCGACAGATCATTATCTGCCATGAAAATGATGGCGCTCACACTCACACACCAATCCTCTGGACATCCAAAAACAGTTAAACAGTTGTACCAAATGCAATTAGTGTCATTCTTCCACGTGTTTCAGTTGTTGGTCAGTGCTGTTGAAAATAACATGTTGGGGTAACAGGACTTTGTAAACACCCTGTTTATGATAGACAACCAGTTATTAAAGCAAAGGATCAATCAGCTAAGTAGGGACTAAAAAGGATTAATAAGACATTGCCTTTGGTCTTTGCCATCGGTCAGTTCCGAGACAAGATGGTCCACATTTCCCCAGGGCAATTGGGCCTTGCAGCCTGTAAAGACTGAGGCGTTTGCGGAGCGTGAGTGAGTTTGGGTTCCTGCAGATTGCGAATTCCCACCATTACTCCAATCTTTGCTGCCTCTCCCCTCCTCCTCCACCCCGCCCTCAGCCCCCCAATCCCTCCCCTGCCAAATCCACGTATTGTCAGAGGTACCGTCCTTCGGATGAGACATTAAACCAAGGTCCCGTCTGCCTGTTCAGGGGGATGTTATGGATCTTGCGACACTATTCGAAAAGAGAAGGGAGTTTCTCTTTCCCGATGTCCTGGCTAACAATCCCCCGAATAAATTTGGTCACTCCATCTCCTCCCTCCCCCGGCACGGTGTCAGACTCCCCCACTGTTAAGCGCTCCACGACTGTTTTGGGACACCGCTGTGCGCAATTGGCCGCCACATTTCGCCCACAAAAATACAGTCAATCCACTTTACATTAAATCCTGTGAAGAGCTTTGAACACGTTTCAACTACGGGATAAGGCGCTATATCAAATGCAAGAGTGATTGTTATTATTATTATCATTCCGCCCGCCATCCAGCAGTGTTCGCCAGGCTGTTAGGTGTAGTGACTGTGTATGTGCAGGCGAAGTAACCGACTGACCTGTCCGATCCCCATGACTGTTCAGGACTGTTTCCGTAAACGCAGGTTGCACAAAAAGTCATTGAGGAGTCTCCTGAGGGCCAATGGTTTCTCTGGGGCTGGGCTGTGACTCTGCTGTGAACCACTGGACGGTGCTATTTCGGCACAAAGTTTGCGTTGAAGCCAACCCCCAAATGAAGAGTAATAATAATAATAATCTGCCAATTCAAAAATAAATAGATCTCTCGGTTGATGTGGTCCCAAGTAAAATAGAATGAGTAGGGAAGACGCTATGTGAATCATTATGTACAAACATATAAACATACAAACATATGTCTGTGGACTAGACAAAGCCCTTTCCCCATAGAGTGTACAGACGCTCAAAGTCGTAGAGTCTTATGCCCACATAGAGTATAAAAGTATATATTTTGTTGGCCCCGTTTCCCGTTTCACCCACAAAGTCAATCCACTTTGCGGTACATCCTGCGAAGGGATTTGAGACGTCTCAACTATGTGATAAAGCGCCATAATAAATGCAAAGATTATTATTATTATTAGAGTATTTGACCAGCCTTGGGTGAAGCCAAGAAGCGATCACAAACTGGTTATTAAGAAACACTGGTGACAAAGCCACTGGTGGCCTGTGGACAGAATTATTAAATGGAGGCAAGCACAGACTAGTATATTGAAAAGATGCCAATCAGTATTCTGTGTGAATACAGTGGAGATCGATAGAACAGGACAGGTTTACTGCAGCAGTAATATTGATTGAGCGGTGGGGAAACACAGTGAGCTTAAAGACAGGAATCCTATTGACAGCTTCCTGACTGTACCTATCACTCGGTTGCTATTCAGCACACGCGCACACAGACACATACATTACATCTCCCGGTGTCCTGGTCAACAACCCCCCCCCCCCCCCCCCACCCCTCCCCAAATAAAACTGGTCACTCACTCCACGGCTGTTTGTATGACACTGTGGCTGCCGCGCTTTGCCCGCAGAATGACACAGTCACTGCACTTTACAATGCGTCCTGCAAAGCACTTTGAGGCATCTCAACGAAGTGATACGGCACTAAATCAAGTGCAACGGTTATTGATGCTGTTATTAAATAGGAGAGGGGGTTCAGAGGGTTAGGAACTAGAGTGGGGCATAAACCCTGGCACGAGGGACGAGTTGGATCTATGTGTTTTGTGCTGCAAATTCCCCCTCCAGGCTCCGAGACAGCTGCGCGAAGCCTTGAGACAACCTCCCCACATGAAAAGCAGAAACATAACATTTGGAGTGGCTCTAATGTAAAATATAACAGGAAAGGGAGAACAGTTAAAGGGAAAAAAACACAGAGGACAGTAGTGTGGGGGGTGGAGAGGCAATATGTTAGGCATTATGGTCACTCTTGTTTGAGAATTGCAGAACCAGGGGGTTGATAAGGGGAGAGGTGGGGGAGGGGGGGGGAGAGGTGGGGGGGGGGGGGGTGAGGGGGGGGTGAGGCTGTCATTCAGACCACAGACCACAGCATCGCCCACGTGAATGTGAATGTGAAAGCGTTCACAGCCATTCCACTGCCTCCTGTACACAACACACACTCTCACACACACACACACACACACACAGGGATGGACTGGGGGAGAGAGGGAGAGGGAGGGAGGGAGAGAGAGAGGGAGAGAGGAGGGAGGGAGAGAGAGAGGAGGGAGGGAGAGAGGAGGGAGGGAGAGGGAGAGGAAGGAGGGAGGGAGAGAGAGAGAGAGGGAGAGAGGAGGGAGGGAGAGAGAGAGGAAGGAGGGAGAGAGAGGAAGGAGGGAGGAAGGGAGAGAGAGAGAGGAAGGAAGGAGGGAGGAAGGGAGAGAGAGAGAGGAGGGAGGGAAGGAGAGAGAGAGGAGGGAGGGAGGAGGGAGGAAGGGAGAGAGAGAGAGGAGGGAGGGAGAGAGAGAGGGAGGGAGGGGGGGAGAGAGAGGGAGGAAGGAGGGAGGGAGGGAGGGAGAGAGAGAGAGGAGGGAGGGAGAGGCGGAGCTGATCCCGTTTAAACCTAATCCTATTCAGCTCAATGTTTGTTAATAAGTGTCTGAGACCACAGTTGCAGTTCAGAGTTGATGTGTTACTGTGACACATTGCGACAGTGATCCGCTGTAACGCGTCTCGGCTCTGACTGTTTAAAGGGCAAAAGCGGAGAGAGAGAGAGGTCTCTGTCTGTCTGTGTGTCTGTCTGTGTCTGACTGTGTCTGACTGTCTGTGTGTGTGTGTGTGTCTGTCTGTGTGTGTGTGTGTGTCTGTGTGTCTGTCTGTCTGTGTGTGTCTGTCTGTGTGTGTGTCTGTCTGTGTGTGAGTGTGTGTCTGTCTGTCTGTGTCTGACAGTGTGTGTGTGTCTGTCTGTGTGTCTGTCTGTGTGTGTGTCTGTCTGTGTGTGAGTGTGTCTGTCTGTGTGTCTGAGTTTCTCTCTCTCTCTCTGTGTTGTCCACTACTTGTTTTCTGGAGTGAGGTTTTAATTCTTTTACAAGTGGAGAATCTCTAATCCGCCGCTGGAGGATTGATTGGGGGTATCGTCTGTTCATTTCTTTCTTTATGTATTTATTTATTTGTAATTGAGGGTTTTTTTGGGGTTAAAAGATCGTGTAACTACTTTTCTAGTGGCCGGGGGTGGGGGGGGGGGGTGGGGTGGGGGGAGAAGAGGGGATCGATATCTTTGTTGGAGGAGAAGGTTTTTTTTTCCTATTTAAACAAAATCAGTGAAATTTCGATTTCACAGTTCGATCGACTCGAATTTTTTTTAAAAAAAAAGACTATTTTTTGACGATTTGTTGCAAGCGATGGGCCACTTGATTTGCTGTTATGTAAGTTACATAACATTTTGTGGATAATATATATAATACAAATATATATATATACAGATACATACAGTATATAAAGTCTTCTTGCAGATGAACTGGTCTGGGAGGGATAACGAGAAGAGATTGCTGGCTGACCAGAAGAAATCTTTGCAATCATTTGCTGGGTGGGTGATTTATTTACTGTTATCATTGTTTTTATTATTGTTACTTTTTTCGTTCCTCCCTCCCCACCCCCCCCCCCCCCCCCACCCCCCCAAAAAAAAATTACTTGCAAAAGAAATTAAGACAAGGTGCGAATGCATAGCGACGCAGGAAGTTGCCAAGGGCCGGGAGAGAAACATGGGGCGATAGAGATGGAGATTGAGTTGGAGGAGAGCGGTGTGACCGAGGAGGAGAAGACGGGGGATGTCACCGTATTGGACACCAGCCGGACGCGGGGGGAGGCAGATGACTCCCCTCCCGGCCCCCGGCTCCCCGATGGTGGCTACGGCTGGCTGGTGGTTTTTGCCGCCACCTGGTGTAACGGCTCCATCTTCGGGATCCAGAACTCCTTCGGGATTTTGTACGTTTTGATGCTGAACGAGCAGGAAGATCAGAAGGATTCTGCCGTGCAGTTCAAAACAGGTGAGTCAATTCCACCAGGTTCCTTTCATGTCCCCAAATCACTTTGCTTTCTCTCTCTCTCTCTCTCTTTCACCCTCTCTGTTTATCTCAGATCTTTTTGCTCCTAACTCGTACCCCTCTCTCAAAGTTACAGCATCTGCTATGGTTTTTATACATATGCCTGATAACTCGTCACTGCTGTGATTTTGCTAAGGATTCTTGACCTGTCCAAATAGGTGCGGGTCTGTGTGTATGAATATGATAGGAACACAGTAAACTCCTGATAACTAGTCACTCCGAGGGGAAGAAGCGCAGTGACGAGTTGTCAGGAGTGGCGAGTCGGGTGTATGTGTCAATACATAAACAAATAAATGTGGCTGGGATTTTGGCAGAGTGATGACTTAAGTGGCAGCGACAAGTTAAGCTAGCGTTGAGTTACCAGGAGTTTACTGTATAACAATAATCCTTGCATTTAACACAGCGTTTTACCAAGTAGACGTTAACGATCCAGTGGCACTACGTGAGAAGCCAAAGGGGTTTCCTCAAGTGTCCTGGCCAACAGTACTCCAAGCAAAATTGGTCACTCACTTCAAAGTTGTTTGTGAGACATTGCTGTGTGCAAATTGGTTTCCATGTTCACAAAGGAACATATAAGAACATAGGAGCAGAAGTGATCCATTCAGCCCTTCAAACCTGTTCTGCCATTCTATTAGATCATGTAACTCAACTCCAATTCACCTACAAAATGCGCAGTCACTACAACCTGACAGTGAGTTCTTGAACCCACAAACCTTCTGACTGACTCGGAGGCGAGAGCGCAGCTGATTGAGCCAGGCTGCCGGGCACGATATGCTTTGCGAAGCGTGATTTTATGAGCGCTGATAATAATAATAATAATAATCCTTGCATTTGATATAGCGCTTTTCACGTCGGGAGGACGTCCCAAAGCGCTTCACAGAACACACTGTAAAGTGAATTGACTGTATATTTGTGGGCGAACGCGGCAGCCAATTGCGCAGAGCAATGTCCCACAGACAGTCGTAGATTGAAAATGACCCAATTTTTTTTTATTATTGTTTTTTTGATTAAAAATGTCTGCATTATTTTGGTTTCATACAAGATCAGAGAGGTTATTTTTCACACAGCCATCTAGCACAAGTTCTATTTTTAACAATTCAGAACATTTTCCGAATCCTGAATGCTCTTTTTTGTTTTCAGCGAAAATCGACCGTAAACACAAGGCAATAATCTCTACCCATGGAAATCCGCTTCTCATAACTGTTCTTAAAAAGTGTTTATTTGACCACAAAGATGCCCGTGACTTGAGCTCAGACTTAGCGCTGCAGTGCTGTCTTGAAGAAGTGTCATTCTTTCTGATCAGTTATCAAACTGCCGTCCTGCTGCCTGTTTGGTTGCCCGTTAAAGATCCCTTGAGTTTCTCCTGGTGTCTTGGCCAACAATCCTTCAGTTAAACTGGTCATTTGATTAATTTTTGTGTGTGTTTGTGTGTGTGTGGTGGGGGTGGGGGGGGGGGGAATTTGTTGGACACTGGGAGAAACTCTCTTCTCTTTTCAAATAGTGTCACAGGTTTTTTTTATCATCCACCTGAACAGGCAGACAAACTAAACTGGAGCTCAGTTTAATGCCTCATCCGAAGTTTGGCACTCACGGGCCAAGTTGTGCGAGACATTCCTCTGGGAGGGGTTCACTGTTAATTCTTCTGACGGGATCAGTGAACTTCAAATATGATGAGTTGCACAGCCCCACCCCCGCCAGAGAGAGATGGGCCTTGTAAACTAGATGCCTTTGATTTGTGAAGAAGACAGACACCCAGTGGAATATCGGTGGTATTTATTTTGGGGAGACTCAAAGCATTCAGATTCCCCCGAGTGACATTCATTCCAAACAATTCAATTCAATTTGTCCCCCTTTTGAAGTTCCTCCGTTTGATATTTTGTCTCCTTCCTTGGCTTTTGATATCCCAAGTCAGAGCTGTATGATAAGAGGGAGGGGATGTCTTGCTCTGTTACCCTAGGGGGTGTTTTCTCCTCCCACCGCCTCCCCTTTCAGAAGTCAAGTTCAAAGCACTTTCCCCGTTAAAGATCCCTCGACTTGCAAATCAGATATGAACAATTTAATAATCTTTGGTCTTGCATCCGATAAGGTCTCGGTGCAAGTTCCGTTGGGTTCTGAATAAAGCCGAGGAGATCAGGCTCGGTCGAGGGAGGGAGCACGGCAGATCTGGTTCAACCCTGATGATAATATTCATTATAATCCTTGCATTTGATACAGAGCCTTGTATTTGAAAGTTTATATTTAAAGGCGATCCGAATTCAAGGCCTAAAATAGGGTGTATCAAATAATCACGTAACAAGCTGCAGAGAAACCAGATTTTCCAGGTAAATACGGTGATTTGCACCGTGAATCACATGAGACACTCCTCCTGTCCCTGTGTGACTCAGCCTCTCCCTCGTTTCCTTGTCCTCAGGCTGCGTCTGATAATAATAATAATCCTTGCATTTGATACAGCACCTCATCACGTCTGCGAGACGCCTCAAAGCGCATTCACAGAATATGCTGTAAAGTGAATTGTACTGTGGATTTTATGGGTGAAACATGGCAGCCAATTCCCTTTACAGTATATTCTATGGAGCGCTTTGCGACGTCTCAACGAAGTGATCAGGCGCCATACCAAATGCAAGGGTTATTATTATTATTATTATCAAAGCGCCTGAGCTTGTCTGATGGTTGCTCAGAGCTCGTTCCTCTAACGCTGTGGGAATCATCCTCATTGCTCCCCTGTGCACAGCCTACAGGAGCTGAAATCACGCTGCTCTTCCCACCAGCTATAGGGGGGCGAGTCGTGTGTTCTTTGCTTTAAAACCGATCGCTCCTAATGTTTGGGAACGTTTGGAGGTTATCGGGTCCGCATGATCTTCTCCTGAAATGACCTGGCATAACAGGAGGGTTATCAATGCATCGGATCCACAAGGCCCCGAGTTAAAAGCTAAATGCAATCGATTTACGATTGCTGAACTGGAATGGGAAGTTATCTCATTCGCTGTGACAAACAGAAAGACAAGCAAACAAATTCGAAAGGCAGATGCTATTTCGTAAGATCACGAGAGAGGTCCCGAGTGAAGCGAACTCTTTATAACCCGTTTGATTTCTACCTGCCAGAATACGCAACATATCGTCCTCCTAATGTTGTGTCAAACTGTGTGTTGATAATCATAATAAAAATAATCTTTGCATTTGTTATACAGTAGCGCCTCATCACATCATTGAAACATCTCAAAGAATATATTGTAAAGTGCATTGACTATGTATTTTGTGGGCACAGCGCAGCAGACAATTGTGCACAGCTCAAAAGCTTCCTCTTTGACTGTGTTTTCGGTCATCCTCCCATCCTGATTCCAACCCCGAGCCCAGGTCCAGGCCCCTTGACTGTCCAGCGCCTTGGGACGTCCTCCCCCGACGTGAAAGGCTGCTGCATAAATGCAAGTGGTTGTTGTTGTCAGGGGAGAGGTTTAATCTGAACCTGTACTAACGTCAGTGGGTGAAAGGTACCAAGCAGGTCTCCATCCAATTTGCGAAAGCACCATCCCAGGCACTAGGCAGACTGTAAAGTACAAGGTCCTTGTTTAAAAAGTTAAATTTTTACTCGGGTCACTCACCCGGCCAGTTTATCATCACCCCATGTTGTTCTCTGTAACCGTTTGTTCAGGTGACAGCCAAGGTCGCTGTTGCCGTTAAATCTCTGAAGACCTGTGGGTTCCCTCCCCGCTCGCTACTCAAAGCTTTGATTTTCGGTTTTTTAACTGAGTTTAAAATCTCATCGCAAAATTGCGTTTAATTGGCGTTCGTGGAGTCCCGTAACGTAACGGTTGGCGCGCTCGCCTCGCAAAGCGAGAGGACCCGGGTTCAGTTCCTGGACGGAATGAAACCTTTGGCAAGTTTCCTTACTCCGCACGCCTCTGTTTACCTAGCAGTGAATAGGAACCCGGATGTTAGTTGATTGGTGGATCTTTTTGAGAGAGCTTTTCGGAGGTAATAATCTCTCAAAAAAAATTGGGGTCACTCAATCCAGGACTGTTAGTTGAATACTGCTGTGCACATTTGGCTGCCGCGTTTCGCCCACAAAATATTCAGTCAATCCTTCACGGTGTATTCTATGAAACGCTTGGAGATGTCCAGAGAACATGATAAGGCGCTATATCAAATGCAAAGATTATTATTACTCTTATTATTTTATCAATAACGCACCACACAGCTTTCTGAATGGGGCTGACGATGGATATTCATAGGGATTGAGTGTTCTTCGCAATGAATAAACCGTTGGCCATCTGGCAAGGCACCTACTATGTGTAACACATACAAAACAAATCTCCAGATATACAGTGACAGGGATTTATGTTTTGGAGCAGTAAACAGTGATCGAAGTCTTGTACAGCACAAAGTTGGTGTTAGAATGTATCATAGAACCCTACAGCACAGAAGGAGGCCATTCGCACTGGTAATGCTCAGCCCTCCTGCCAAATGTGCCGGGCAAGAGATATCCACGAGTTTAGCAACAGCTTAGAGCTTTGAACCTTCCTGGTCGGTCGGTGTGAATGGATCCCGAGTAACAAGAGAAAGTTACACAGCAAAGCCACTTGCAACCGAAACCAGTTTGATTAGGAGAGCGACAGTCAGGAGCCAGATAATCATGGCTCGACGCTCAGTGAGCTTTTCAGACACTTGTACTCAGGCTCCAATTGAACTGCCGCTTGTCACACAGAGAGAGAGAGAGAGAGAGGGAGAGAGAGGGAACGAGAGAGAACCTGGAAACACTTTGTGCAATTAGTTGGTGAAAAAAACTGATTACGTTCAGGAGAAAGCCTTCTCTTTGAGCCTCCCCCGTATTATTGATTTGAGCAATTCATGCAAGAGTCTCAGTTGAACGGAGATAATTACTGCTATTTAGGGAATGGAACAGTGAGGCCTGTTTACATTTCAGGAATTAATTCCCTTTGTGGCGCAGATTTCTTTTTGAGAGAGAGTTTCCAAGTAATTTCTTTATATCCCGAGATAATCGGATCCAACTTGGCACAGAAAGTGGTGAGGATTCTGGATTTCGGGACTCGCACAAAAACAACTGTAGGGCTCAGATACAGCAGGAGGGTTAGTGGGCAGATGCCATCCTTCGGATGAGATGTTAAACCGAGGTCCCGGCTGCCTGTTCAGGTGGACGTTAAGGGTTTCCCTGGCGTCTATTCGAAAAGAGATGGGAGTTTCTCTCTCCTGGTGTCCTGGTCAACAGACCCCCAGATAAAATTGGTCACTCACTCTGTGGCTGTTTGTGGGACACTGCTGTGTGCAAATTGGCTGTTGCGTTTGCCTTCAAATGAACGATCACTAGACAGCAATGGCCTGTGAAGCGCTTTGAGATGTGTTGGGATTATTTTTTTTAAAACTCAAGAGGATTGTTGGATGAAGTATGCCTTGCCAAGTGAGTTGGTCGAGGCTCCTGCCCATTGTGGGTTTCCAGAGGGAAGTAGACTGGCATATGAATGGGGTATGGAAATAGGGCAAGGCAGTAGGACTGAATGGACGATTTACTGAAAACACATTCTAAAAATGGCTTTTTCTCAGCCACCTTCCAGATAAAACTGGTTATTTGCTTCTTGACTCTTTGTGAGAGCTTGCTCGCTTTGTGCAAAATTGGCTGCCGTGTTTGGCCAGCAAAAGCAGCCACCATACTTGACAATAATTGCTGTGAAGAGCTTTTGAGATGTTCTGACCTAGGCACTGTGTCAAACGTAAGGATTATTCTCAGTCCTATAAAATTGACCCTCGCACTGCCTCCACTTCCCGCTTACATTGGATAAGTAAACAGGTGAGTTTCAAGCACGCTGTGGTCAGAACTGAACGCGATAACCACCCTCGCGTTCCATGGAGCACCTTATCACCATGAGACATCCTGAAGCACTTTGCAGTAATTACTGTGACTTTGTATTTGCGGGTGAATGTGGCAGCCAAGTTGGACTCAGCTCTGCCCCACAAACAGCCTGGAGCCGAATGTTCAATTTAACCAGAGGATTGTTGCCCGGGAAAAACTCCCTTCTTTTTTCGAACAGGGATCTTTAATGTCCACCTGATTGTATAGACAAAGCATAGCTTGAGCATCTCATCCAAAGGACGGCACATCCGACAATGCAATGCTTCTCTACCCCCCCGCACCCGCCTTCCTACCCCCCTCTCTCCCACCCAGTTCACCCGGACTGTGAGCTCAAAGTCCCCGACGTGTGTTGAATAATTTGGAAGAATTGAATCCACAGAATTGAAAGCCCATGATTCTAACACAATTTTCCTTTTGTCTCTCTCTCTCTCTCTCCCCCTCTGTTTCTTTCTCTCTCTCTCCCACTGCAGCCTGGGTCGGTGCTCTCTCAATGGGAATGATTTTCTTCTGCTCTCCTGTTGTCAGTATGTTCACCGATCGGTTTGGATGCCGACGGACGGCAATGGGTGGTGCAACGGTAGCTTTCATTGGGCTCCTTTCCAGCTCTTTCACAAAGTAAGCCTGAATTCTTGTCTTAATTGGTTCGGTCGGTAGCTCTTTCGCCTCTGAGTCAGAAGGTCGTGGGTTCAAGTCCCCCCAAGTCGGGACTTTGAGCTCACAATCTGAGCTGACGCAGTTCAGGGCTGGGGGTGGGGGGAGCTCCACATCGTTGGAAGTGCCGTCCTTCGGATGAGACGTTAAACTGAGGTCCCACCTGCCTGTTCGGGTGGATGTTAAGGATCCCATAACACTGTTTGAAAAGAGAAGGGAATTTATCTCTCCCAGTGACCTGACCAACAATCCCCCAGGTAAAAATTGGTCATCGACTTCACGGCTGTTTGTGAGACGTTGCTGTAAGTTGCGCTCACCTACAATATACACTGCAAGTCACTGCACTTTGCAGTAAAATCCTTGTGAAGCGCTCTGAGACGTGTTCTCAACATGAAAAGCTGTATCAAACGCTTGAGTTATTATTAGTCGTACTGTCACCCACCACAGGCACTGTTTGTCCAGCCACTAAACTGTGAATTGGAGCAGAGGAAGGATTTCTATTTAGAACGATTCTTAAATTAGCTGTGTTTATTTCCCCGCTGACTTTTACAACCCTCATGCAAAATCAGCGAGTCACACACACACACACACACAAACACATATTTACAGTATGTATAAATAACACTACTCGCAGACACAACTATTTAGGTCACAGTGAGTGAATAGCAGTGCGATTGGTATCAGAGGGTGAATTTCAGGAAGTGGCACATGTGCTGTGATGGAATGAGCTGGAATCGCATGCACCAGGCAGCCCCCCACCCCCGACTGACGTCTTATGCTGTCGACCTTGTTTGCTCACACGCATCTCGCTTTTTTTCTCTCAAATTCCACAATTTCCTTTTTTTTCCCCCCTCGCTTCAATTGCCGGAAGTAACGGCCCTTTTTTTTTTAAAAGATGTTTCTCGTTTCTTTTTTGGGGGCGGTTTTAGAAAAAAATCTGACGTGTATTTTTTGCTATGAGTTCCATACAAGTGCTCTTTCTGTTTAATTTGTGCGTTTTAAAAAAAAAAGGACAAAGATTGCATGTTGAGAAACATGACTGGCAGAACAGTGTCCTGCAAACAGTCATGGATTGGGTTTCCAAATTATTTACTCTTATTTATATTATTTTTGAAGGGATTATAATCCTCGGAAAAGCGATCCGTCAATCGACTAACAATCGAGTTCCTACTTACTGCTAGGGAAACAGAGGCGTGGGGGGTAAGGAAACTTGCCTAACATTTCGCCCTGCCCGGGAATCGAACCCAGGTCCTCTCGTTTGCGAGGCAAGTGCTTTAACCAATACACTACAGGACACCACGATTGTGTGACTACAATGGACTTCTTCCCAATTGTCATCGACAGGTCCTTGGGATTGAGGTACCTCACCTATGGCCTCCTCTTTGGGGGTGGCTCATCATTTGCTTTCCAGCCTTCCTTAGTCATCCTCGGCCATTACTTCCGACGACACTTGGGACTTGCCAACGGGGTGATGACGGCCGGGAGCAGCATTTTTTCCATCCTGCTCCCCCTCCTGCTGAAGAAGATCGGTGACAGTCTGGGGCTGGCCCACAGCCTGCAGATTCTCAGCCTTTTCATGTTCATTCAGATTATCCTGTCAGTGTCCTACAAACCCTTGGTGCCCTCAGGGGAAAAAGCAGCAAACAGTCGCCAGTGTCTTCACAAGTGCCTGAACATGAGAGTCTTCAGCAAGGTCACCTATAGGGTCTGGGCCTTTGGTGTGGCCACTGCCGTTTTGGGGTACTTCGTGCCTTATGTTCACTTGGTGAGTCCCATTGTTTATCTGCGATAACTTGTGTTTCACCCGCAAATAATTACAGTCGATTCACTTTATGGTGTATTCTGTGAAGACGATTCTCGGTGACAGTAGGGCTGACGTCTGTGCCTGTCTGTGTCTGTCTCCATCTCCTCAGATGAAATACATCGAAGAAACCTTTAAGGATAACAACAGAAACTGGAGTCTGCTGGTCTGCATCGGAGCATCATCAGGCATTGGACGCCTGATGTTTGGCAAAATTGGGGACTTGATACCCGGACCCAAGAAGGTCTACCTACAGGTAACTGACCATCAGGGTTCGAAAGGTGATGATTTGCAGCAGGAAAAGGGGCTTCCATCTCGCAGCCAGAAGCGAGTCACCTTGACCACTCAGCTCCCGTTGACCCTGCAACCCACTGCTCTCGCTCCTCTGTTTACCTAGCATGAAGTAGCAACCCCAGTTGTTAGTTGATTGACGGTTTGCTTTTCGGGGGTAACAATCCCTCTAAACAATAAAAAAAATGTGGTCACTCAATCCACTTCTGTTTGTGGGACACTGTTCCGCACAATTGGCTGCTGCACTTCGCTCACAAAAGATTGTGGCTCATACTCACAAAAGACCGTCAATCCACTTGACACTATATCCTGTGAATTGTTTTGAGGCGTCTCAACGTCTCGATGTGATAAGGCGCTGTATCGAATGCAAGGATTTTATGAATATTAATATTATTAATTGAAATGGACGTGTTCGCAGCCATTAATCACACGCTGGAAACAATGAGGAGACGAGACCGTATCCCTCTTTTTAGCCAGGCATCCGCTGATTGGAACCCATTGCGTTTGCTCGATCTAAGGGTTAGTACTGCTCTGAAATAGGTACCACACCCCACCCCCCACCCCCAACCCCGTATGCACCACAATAATGTACCTGTGTGTTATTTGCAGATGGCATCCTTTTGGGTGTTGGGGATAATGTCCATCATGATACCACTGTGCCAGGTCTTCGAAACTGTGATTGTCGTCTGCATTTTCCTGGGCCTCTGCGATGGCTGCTTCATAAGCATTATGGCGCCCATTGCCTTTGAGCTCGTTGGACCTCAAGAGGCCTCGCAGGCCATTGGCTTCCTCTTGGGGCTCATGGCGATTCCTATGACAGCTGGACCACCCATTGCAGGTTAGTGTGAGAGAGAAAGAGAAAAGGAGAGAGAGTTGGTACAGCTTGGCTCAATCTCTAGCACTGCGGCCTCTGCGTCAATAGTTTGTAGGTTCAAACCCTAGGCTGACAAATCGATGCCGTACTAGGGGGAGCACTGCATTGTTGGAGGTGCCGTCCTTCAGGTGAGACATTAAACTGAGGTCCCTGTCTATGCCTGTTTGGGTGGCTGTTACAAATAAAATAAATTGTATTTAAATTCATATTAAAAGATACACGATTCAAAAGAAGAGTTTCTCCCTCCCGGTATCCTGGCCAACAATCCCCCCACTTTGTGGGACATTGCAGTGCACAAATTAGCTGCTGCTACGTTCGCCCACAAAGCGCACAGTCACTACACTTTACTTTACATCCTGCGAAGCGCTTTCAGATGTCTCGGCGACGTGATAAGGAGCTGTGTCAAATGCACGGAACATTATTATTGCGATTATTATTATCTCCATGACATCAATTCTTGGTGTTAAGTTCTGGGGTTTTTTAGTCCTCTTATGTGTTGACAATCCGTTCATTCATTCATTCACTCATGCCTGGCTCAGCTCGAGGAGCAATTTAATAAACGTGTCCAATTTCGAGGAAAGATTTCTGCACATTCCTGACCCCCGCCCCAACCCCCACACCCCCGGCACACATTTTTAGCTGTGGGCTGGATTAAGAATTGTTGCCATGGGTGCCACATTTCCGTACAGATTAGCGGGTCCATTTAATTGAAGATTCGGCTTTGATGTGGAGAGTTTAATACTAACTCACGTTAATCCCTGAACCATTTTGTGCAGGATTAATCCATGATTACCTGAGGTCCTATCAGATGGCTTTTTACTTGGCCGGAGTGCCGCCCATCGTCGGGGGGACCGTTTTGTTCTTCGTGCCCCTGATCCACGGCCGGATCCTCAAGAGGCAGGAAAACCGGGATGATCCCAGCGCTGATAAGGTGTTGATCTCTCAGAGCGTATTGAACGGAGACATGCTGCCCGGCTGCCCCAACCCTGAACCCTCTGTTTAGACCTGGTGTCGCCTTCAGTGCCAAGAGCCACGTTCCAGAGCGGGATTCCTTCCCAAGGACACGGCAGCGATCATTTAAGGTGGGGGGGGGGGGGGGGTCCAACCTGTTGGCTGCTGAGGGCCGGAGGCCCGATTTGAGAAACGTCCGGGGACCGCCTGAGCAATATTTTATCCTGATTGACCAGTCTCGGTGCCGGGTGGATCCTGAGATCCTGGGGACCATCTCCTGATTGGCTTGGGGTCTGCGTGTGTCGATTGAATTTGCACGTCAGAAAATTAAGTTGGGAACGGCCCGCGGGCCGGATAAAATCATCTCCCGGGCCGGATGCGGCCCGCGGGCCGCTACTTGGACCCACCCTGATTTAAGACAATTTAGTTGTTCCGCACAATCACACATTTTTTATCAAAAAAAACGAGGGTGGGGAGAGGGTTGGGGGGGGGGGCAGCAGTGAGTTGTTATCTCTTATCTCGCTTCTTCTTGTCAGGAGGAATTCTTTATTCTACTCCTGATGAAGTGAGATAAGCAAAGAAACTGACGACCTGTTCGTTCCCTCGTGCTGTGACCAGTTAACCTCTTTGTAATGTTTGGATGCGTTGGCAGAGGAGGGGAATGTGCTTTATCTCATACCCCCACCGGATACTTTCCTCGGTGGGGAGGTAAATAATAATATTTAGCGATGTGAAAAGGAAACAAGAGAGAACTACTGTGAAAAGTTGATGATCTGAAATGGAAACATAGATGCTAGAAGTTCACATCACCGAGAGAGAGAGAGGGAGAGAACGAAAGAGAAAGAGTGCGAGAGAAACAAAGAGAATGAATGAGAGAGATAGAGAAAGAAGAGAGAGAAAAAGAAAGAGTGCAACGTGAATATTCAGGCGAAGGACAGCCCATTAGTTCTTGGTTACGGCACTAAAGTCTACCACTTGTGCACTTTCTGGCCTCGAAACATCAAAAACGTCTTGTATCGTCTCTTCTTGCTCCCCCACCCCCACCAAGAATCCCCTTGTCTGTAAATTGTGTTTCGGACGGTTCATAACCTCTGTCAGTGTGACCAAACTGTGTTTAAATGTTTTACTTTGTGGTCAAACGCACCTTATCTCTACTCCCCCCCCCTCGAGTGTGTTTCGGTCACATTACGTTTCAAGAGATATTTCATTCCGACCTTGAATTCACACCTCGTGCTCCTCCCTGGTCTAGCCCGTAACTAGCCCCACTCCTCTCCCCTCGCCCACACGCACCCCTCCCCAACCTTCCAGCTAACCTTCTCCCACAGCTAACATTCCAGCCCGTGACCTCCGCTCTTCCAACTGTGTCCTCCCCCCATTCCAACACGGGTGGCCAAAGCCTCAGTCCACCATTTCCCCCAGGGAACTTGCTTCCAAACCACATTGCCTTGCTGCCTCCCTTCCTGCCTTCTGAAACTCTCTCTGCCTATGCTATTTGGGTCAATATTCTTCAATCCCTCAGCCACGTTATGATCCACGGGCTGGTTGTGAAGTGGAGAAGAGTTTCCTCCGATTGAATTATTCCCGCTGACCCTATAATGTGAAGCCGTTTGGAGTATTGTCCAACGCCAGTGTGGTGGCAGATCAATAAATGGCCAGATATTGACCCTGATGAACATTTCCCCCTCCTTCGCATTTCCATCACTGTCACAGGCCATCTACCAAACTTACATCTGGTCAACCAACTCTGCATTCCAGTGCCATCCTGGAGTCTGACGTCCATTAATCGCCTGGTTTTGTGAGGAGGGGGTTGTGGCTCATGCTCTTTGGATGCTGCTCCTCTGATCTCATCTGCGTTAAGGTTCAGAGAAACGATTCTTATTGCGGAGCAAATAGTGCTGATTAGTTTAGTGCAGTCAAAGAAAAACTATCAGAAAATCATTCTTAACCACCTTCAAGCCTTCAACTTTTATATGCCCGACTATTTGCCTTTTGCAATCCACAATGGCCTCTGGGTCTATCACCTTACTAGGCAGGGCGTTCCGTATCCCAACAATTCTGTGCGTGAAAGAATTTCTCCGAAGTTCTCCTTTCTCTTCTCTTGTGACTATCTTATAACTATGTCGCTGCTCCCTGACAGTGAAAATATGTAAAGCTTCCCGACTGAAGTGTTCTTAGATGGATTAGTGGGAGCTGCAAGCCCAAAATCCAACAGTCTCGTGGGTAAAGCTAAATTAATAGACTTGTTGGAACAGGCTTGATGCTGAGTGGCTTTCTCCCATGGGCCCATGAGGAGTAAGCTGATGTTCGGCTGCACTTTTCGTCATCTTTTCCCAACGTGAAAGGCTCCATACAAATGTAATTTTGCATTGCATCTCTTCCCCCCCCCCCCCACCTCGCCTCTTCCACCCTCTTCAGTTCCCGCCCACCGCCCCAGCCCCTGCTCAGGTGTATAAAGCACCTTGAGGCGTCCTCCTGACGTGACCAGGTGCTGTATAATTATGTACAGGGTTGGGCTTAGTTGGCCAAATTCTGGAATACTCTCCCTCAATCCTTCCGCACTTGCCCCCTCACTCCCTTCTTTCAAATCCTGCCTGAAAATGTTCCTCTTCAACCGTGTTTACCGCCACCCCCCCACTCCTCCCCGATCGGAGGCAGGCTCCGCCACTGTTAAGCGCTCTGAGATGCTAACCTGTGTGGAGGGCGCTATGTAAGTGCAAGTTGTTGTTGTATTTTTACCACCACCATCATCCCCACCTCCCCCCCACCCCAAAAAACAATCATACCAGATCATCTCAGGCTGAGGCAAAACAATTTTCTGCTCATGTTAAAAGTTAGACGTCGAGCAATTAAAACTGCTATCTTGACTTGGCAGGGTTGCACTCAGCCACTATCCTAAACCATGAGCATCTCCACCTTCTTCTTGCAGGGAAGAGAGTAGCTTTATGTATTTTTAACGTTAAAAAAGGACCTTTACAGTACAGTAGGCCATTGCTTGACATGCAAACGTACGGTGCATCAAAATACCGCCGTCTTTGTAATTGAAAATTGAAAAATTACCAGCAATCCAATCACAAATGTGAATATGTAAATATCTTTGCAGTTTGCATACAAGTTGTGCTACGCAAACAAAAACACACATGCAGAGTAGACATGACTGAGCCATTAACTCAACAATTGCCAAGACAATCAAATTGTGATAAAAATAAGAATTACAATAACATGTTGACAGTCAGATTAAGAGATTGACGCTCAGATCGCACATTATTTTCGTAGTCTGTTTGTTTCAAACAATGTGATAGAAGTAAATAGAGTAAGTAGAGGCCTCAGAGGGCAGAGATAGCAGAAATGTGAAACAATAGAAAAGCCCGCCAGTGTTCCCTTGTTACACTTCTCTTGCCAAGGTTAAGGTTGAGTTCAAAAGTCCCAACCTCCCTGAGATGTTCGTGTCTGTTTTTGTCAGTGTAGTTCCTGTGTCTTTCTAAACAATGAAAATGTCTCACCAGCATTTGTGTCGTGCACAAATAAATACGTGAGGTTGCCAAGTGATGTGTAGTGAATTTATGTTAAGTGTCTTTTAAAAAAAGATTAAAAAAAACACACAAAATAAAGCCTGGAAAAATCCATAGAATAAAATGATTGTTTTGTTTTATTCCGTTCTTCTGGAACTCCATTCCACAGTCCCTTTGCCTCGTTCCCTCCCTTGCATCCTTCAAAGCATGTCTCAAGACCCTCCTTTTCGACCGCACCTTCAGTCAGCCTCCTACCCCTAATCTCCCCGCCCTCCCCCCCCCGCCTCGCCCGCTGATCCCAACCCCCAGCTCAGGGACATCCTCACGGTGGCTACACTTTACAGTGCATCTTGTGAAATGCTTTGAAACGTCCTCCTGCCTTTGAAAAGGGCTGCATCGAAAAAAGTAGCTGATGTTTTCAGACAAGTACTTGCAAACGTGGGAGTGGATTAGAATACACATCCCATATTAAAGGAAACATTAAAGTCCTTCGGGATTAAATAATGGAAAGGATTTTACTCAGTGTTAAAGCAGTGGAAATCACTTGGCTCCACCAGCGGAGAGAGAAATTGTGTCTGTAAGCACCACCTTGTGGTCACCCCATACATTTGTCAACAGATATCTTTTCAACCCCAAAATTTGTCCCCTTTTATTTCTGCCTTACAGCACCCCGGCCAGACACGCTCCACAGCTGTGTGCATTGGTGATTCGCTCACGCTTGCACACCCTAATCGCTTCTACTGCAGTGACAAAGCCTGTGTCAGCCTGGCTCAGTTGGTAGCAGCGTTGGGGCTTTTGAGCTCACGTAGGTTCCCGAGACTGTCACCGTGATACAATGCTGGGGACGCCATCTACGCAACATTTCCTTGCGTCTCGCATGGAATGCGCATCACTCTCCCTGGAGGGTCACACCCTACTTACCCGATGAGGGGCCCGACTTTCAGAGTTAACAGGAGGCAAGTGGGAAGAATCCCTTCTGCCAATCTGCTCCTTCAAGTCCTCCCGATGAGCTAGACTTCTCGGTCTGTCATCTCCTGGGCCCTGGAGTATTGCAGATCTGTCTCGCTCACCAACCACAAAACCTGGACCGCCGTTGGAAGGTTGAACACACGGCGAGTTCAAGAAGGAAGCAAATAATAGCATTGAAGACTTGCACATGAATACATCACACAAAAGTGTATTGAGAAATAAATTAAGATCCTCGTCCTTACCTCCAATTTCCCACATGGTCTTGCTCCATCCCATCTCTGCAATCTCCTACAGACCCACCACCCCACAGCTCTCTTCTGTTTCCTGCAATATATTCTGTGAAGCTCTTTGAGACGTCTGAACGATGCGATAAGGCGATATATCAAATGCAAGGATTATTGTTAAAAGATACTTCCTTTTTCCAAAAAAAGTCAAAACCAAACCAAACCAAAAGGAGTGGAATAAACCTCACAGACAAAGAGTGCTGGTTGCTTTTTCGTGCAATATTTTATTAAGGTTTATGGATAACTCATAACTCAACTTGTTCAACTGATCAAGGTAGAAAGATAACATCTCTCTCTTGCAAGTAATGTTTTCTCTTTCCAAAAGGGATAAAAATCCCAACTGGGTATTCATTAGACAAACTTTTTTTTGCATCAAAACTCAAGTGACTAATTTACAAAAAAATTAGTACAACATTACATAAATAAAACTAAATCACTTTAAACAAGCCCTGTACAGTAAACCAAAGTATGTTCGCTCTGGTTAATAAGACTCCTGCAGATGCTGGAGGCTGTCCCCTGGACTTCTTTTAAAGCACTTTTGTCTCCTAATTTGCATCGAATCTTTACTACACAGTTCGCCTTATGCAGGAGCGATCACTGCCGTGGGATTATATTAACGTAATGGCATCATTCTTTCGCAATATTTATTTGCTCAGCGGAACTAAACTATTGATGGAATACAAGTGCACATATTACAATGTCAGTCTTTTAAAATTTATAACAAGATGCCAACTTCATCTGGGTCGCTTTCTTTCCTGTATATAAAAAAAGTGGGTCGTTCCGTTTTTTGATGCGCGCAACATCAGAGTCAGCAAACACGGGCCATTTTCTGTCCATTATCCCCTGTATACTTTTTAAACAAAAAATATCTCGTACTGGGAAAAAAAACAGCAAGCCATTCTGACCGAGTTAGAAACGATCTCGCTTACGAATCCTATCCATCAGTTCCTAGGGTATCGTATTGAGAACTGCAACCTTTTGACTCGGTGGTGTGAGAGAGAAAAATAATCTAGAGGTGAAGCTTCTAGTTTTATTTTAAATATCGACCTCCCTGCCCCTCCCCACGTGGGTATTTTTGTCCACAACTGCTGTTGCTTGTACCGCATGCAATCTGATCCGGCTTTGACAGAAGTCGCCAGCATCCTTCCACGCTCAGGGTCTCGGAGTATTCTCTGCGACATCGATGCCCCTGGAAAGGGGGTGCAGGGATTTCGGGGGAAAGCGGTGCCGCAGTTAAGCAGCAAAGCCCTGAAGTCAACAGGTTGTTCCTTAGGCACGGGTTGAACGACATAGCACTTTAGGCCTTGGGAGAAACACAGCACATTCACGCCCGCTCGCACTGTCCACCCGCGAGATGGCTTGTAACTGCATCTCTCTCTCTCTCTCGAGTCACGTCACACATACTACCTGGCTTCACGAGACAAAACGGCCCTCTCATATAGACGTCCAGTCAATTCACTGCAGAGTGCATCCCCCCAACCTTATATACACTGCTTTCTCTATTGTATATATAAAAAAACAAACTAAAAACACACCGTATATACGGGGTAGAAGCAAGAACTGAGGAACGGGAGGTAGAGAGAAACTCCGGAATAAGGTGAAAAATAAATTGATATTTAATAAAAAGCAATTTTTAATGGAGACCATTGAAAACAATGGATTTGGTATTGATGATTCCACTGTACAGAAACCAATACTCTTAACTGCTGTACACGTCTCCAATTATCCCCATAGACTTGATACGTTTAGTATAAGGCAACCTGTCCATTAAAGATGCTCAGTAAATTAGAATTCTTTTCATAGCTGTGACAATTTGCATTGCAAATTATCTCTTTTTTTTAAAAAAAGTGGCCAATTTTTCCCGCTTCCCTCCCCCCCGCCCCCCACCGAATACCTTACCCTGCAACAAATGAACATACTTTTGAATTGCTAAAGCACACAGGCTCTACAAGTGTGCAAGCCGATTGAAAGAAATCATGTGAATAAAAAAGCAAGGAAAATTATCTTCTCCTTCAGAGAGAGAATGCGAGCGAGAAAGAGAGAGCGAGAGAGAGAGAGAGAGAGCGAGAGAGAGAGAGAGAGAGAGAGAGAGCACGCGCGAGAGAGAAAGAGAGAAACATAGCGCGTGTGAGAGAGAGCGGAGAGGGGGTAAAAAATTAGGATTCAGAAACAGGATGTGAAACTGAATTACAGCTAACCCAGGTAAAGCGCTAATGACCCTACGGAATTCAAGCCAGGGAATCCGTCCTTTACAAAAACAAGTGAAAGAATAAAGCAAATCATTGCTGTGTGAATAACTCATTTACCATGCTAAGAAGAAAAACCCTTGCCTTCTGAAATAAAACAAAATCAATTCCAATAGCTTTTTAAGATACCCGACACACTTGTGGAAGTCTACCTTGCTCTGAACACAGCTTTGTTTGTTGCTGTTGCCTTTTTGCTTCCTAGCATGGTAAGTAAACCTCTCCAACATTTTATTTTCATATTTTTTTTCTTAAAAAAAGCAGTGCGATAGCGAGCGCACACATTTTTCTTTCTTCCTTTCTTTCCTTCTTTCTTTCTTTAAAAATTACCAAACCAACATTTAAAGATTAGCAAAAAACACAACCTTTTCCCTTGAACGGAGGATAGGAAGCCTTCACAATAAGAGTATTAGGTATGGCTATCTTTTTTTTCTGTATGTGGGTGCGAGTGTGTGTGTGTGCGCGCGCGCACGCGTGTGTGGTGTGTGTGTGTGTGTGTGTGTGTGTGTGAATGTGTCAAAATTTCCCCCACTACATTCTGAAGTATAATTTTATAGGCTTCACCGTTTGGTACAGCTAGCTAATTCTACATGACACCAACATCAGGGTGGCTGATGGCGGCTGAACGCTAGCCAATGCTTTCCCCGGCGCTGCGGGCCAGAACAGCCTGACGGCAGATGGGGCAGGTGGAGTTTTCCGAGAGCCAGCGGTCGATGCAGTGGACATGGTACTCGTGCGAGCAGGGCAGCTTGCGCAGTTTGTTGCCCGCCGTGTACTCGCTGATGCACACGCTGCAGGTTTTAATGGCGTCGCTCTCCCCAAAATTCCGGGTGGACAAGTTGTCGATCTGCTCTTTCGTGAGTCCCCTGGGCTGATCGTCCTCGTCCTCATCGTTCAGCAGGAAGAAGTGGGCCAGCCTGAGGATAGGCAAGGTGCCGCTCTCCTCCAGGCCAAACAGGCCCCGGCTCTGCGGGCCCTCTCTTCTCCTGGCCCCCGCCGTGCCGTCGGGCTCGCTGACGTTCCTCTGCTCCCCCGCCTGCTGCTCCCCGACTCTGCCTTCCTGGCCCGCTCCCAGGCCGGGGGGCTCGTTGCCGCTCGTGCCGCTCGGAGTCTCCAAGGCCTCGGCCGTGGGATTGGGGCCCCTGTTGCTCGACTCGGAGTCGCTGTCGCTGTCCACGAAGGAGCTGAGCTCGCCGCCCATCATGATGCGGCGCAGGATGGTCTGCAGGGCGACCGAGGCTGCCTCGCCCAGCCCCGAGCCCGATATCCTGCGGAAAGGAATCCGGATGGTACTGACGTACGTCCGCACCCCGGCTCGCTCTGAGCGGGAGAAGGTGCGCCTGAGCCCGCCCCGCTCGCTCTCGTACACCACAGTGTTGTCAGTAGTCTGGGATCGCGAGCGGGTCCTGCTGGCTATACTGTCCCGGTCCGCTGTCTCGCCGGGCCTCACTCTTCTTACCTGCAGGTCCAACATGATGGTGGGTGGCCGGCGGCCGGTGGCCGAGGGGTCGCTGGCGGGGTTAGAGGAGTCGGCGGCCTCCTGCGAGGGCTCGCTGGGCTCCAGGGCCGAGGCGGGATTGGCCACTTCAGTCTGAGCCTCGTCTCCGGCTCGGTTCTGCCTGGACACCACGTGCTGCCGTGTTCGGGAGCTCCCCTCAGCCCCGCCCTCCGGATTGGAACGCTCGGGCCTGTGGGCCGAGCCCTGGCGCCGAGTCCGACTGGATCCCTCGCCGACGGGGTGCAAGGGCGACCGGCTGCGGTTACTCCTTGTCCTGGAGGACCTGCGGCGCTCGGGGCTCCGGCTCCGGCCGCTCCTCGGGCGGCTGCGATGGGCCTGCGTTTCCAGCTCTCTCCTCAAGAGTTCATATCTGGTCTCGTAAGGCAGGTCCCCGCTCAGCCTCCTGCTTTGCCTGGCCAGCGGGGTCTCGGACCTCTGCAGTTCGCTCTGGATGGTCTCTTCGGCGATGCTTGCCGCGGTTACCGGCGGCGCCACCAAAGCCACGGTGGGGGGCGCGGGTGGGGGCGGCAGAGGGGGCGGCGCTGGCAACGGCGGCGTGCGGGTTAGTGTCACCGACGGGGCGAGTGGCGCGGCCCCCCCCGCCGTCGCCGCTTCGCCCGACGTGTCCATGGGCTGCTCGCCCTCCAGCTCGGCACTCTGCTCCAGCCGGCTGCGGCTCACGTTGATCTCCAGGCTGAACCTGAAGTCACCGCTGGTGGGGTTGGTGCGGCTGACCGCTCGCCACGAGCGGTTCCCGCTCTGCCCGCTCCGGGTGGTGTTCCCCGTCTGCCGGAACGCGTTCAGCCACTCCAGCAGCGAATCCCCACTCAGTCCTTCCTCAGAACCCTCGGCCCCTAGAACGGCAAAACACACCGGTCAAGCGGCAAAATAAATCAGCTTCCGGCAACGCCTCGAATCTCACCCGCACAGAAAAGGAGACGCCGAGGTTGGATGCGTGAAAGCACCACCACGGTTTTTCGTGGACGGTATAACTGTTTCACCTGCAAAATACAGTCAATTCACCGGACGGTATATTCCGTGAAGAGCTTTAGACACGTCTGGAAGACGTGATAAGTTGCTGTATTAAATGCAAGGATTATTATTATTGTTATTATTATTATTACGCAGTGCTGCGAGACGGAGAAGGAAACCGAAACAGAGAACCAGCGCAGTGACTGTAGCAAAAGGTTCAAGGATTCACCCCAAGTCCGAGGGGTGATAGCAAACAAGAACAACAACTTCACCTTCCTCCCACCTTCCTCTCTGACTTCTCCACCCTTCTATCTTCCCTCTGCCTCTGTTCCAAACGCCTCCTCATCCTAGGCGACTTCAACCTCCACTTCATCCCCTCTTGCTCTATTTCAGCTGACTTCTCTGCCCTTCTCTCCTCTCACGACGACGACAAAATTAAATTTGTATAGTGCCTTTCACGTCAGGAGGACATCCCAAGGCGCTGGACAGACAGAGTTACGGACCCAAGCTGGGGGTCGGGGTGGGGGAGGGTAGAGGGCAGTGGTGGAAGCAGGGAGATCGAAAGCATGGTCGAAGAGGAGGGTTTTGAGGTGGGGCTTGAAGGTGGCGAGAGAGGAGGCGAGAAGGAGCGACTGCGGGATGGAGTTCCAGAGGGTGGGTGCAGAGTGGCGGAAGGCCCGCCCGCCAATAGCAGTGGGGGTGACTACCCGGGTCCTCATCATCACGGACATCACCATGACCGACAAATGCCCTCATCCAAATGAAAACGTTGAGTACGTTTCAAGGGTTTCCAAACTGCTGAAATGTCCCTCACCCACTCGCGCTGACAGTACAGAACCACCTCACTGGGATTAACAACTCACCGTGGTTGTCCACAGATCCTTCAGTCCTCCGAGTCTCTGCGTTGTTCTGGATTGTTCCATCCTTGACTTGCTGTAGACGTCTCAGAAGTTCCTCCTCTGTAATTTCCCCTAGAAAACATCATTGGCAATGAAAACCCAGAGCCATTAGATAACGTACTGAGGAATGTTGAACACAGAACCATGAAAACATCCACCAGCTTTAAATCAAACAAACTATCAGAATTAAAATATCTACTTTCTAACTTAAGCCGTCCTTTGGATGAGACATGAAACCAAGGTCCCGTCTGCCTGCTCAGGTGGATGTTACAGATCCCATAGCGCAATTCAAAAAGAGAAGGGAGTTTCTCTCTCTCGGTGTCCTGGCCAACAATCCTCCAAATAAAATTGGCCACTCACTCCATGGTTATCTATGGGACATGGCTGCGTGAAAACTGGTTGTCATGTTTCGCCTACAAAATGTACAGTCAATCCACTTTACAGTATATCCTGTGAAACGCTTTGAGACTTCTCGGCAATGTGATAAGGCGCTATATCAAATGCATAATGATGATTATTATTATTATTATTAAGCATTCACACACCCACTGCACATTGTCATCCAACTATGAACGAACAAACCGAGATCCCGTCTATCTGGCCAGGGCGGGTGTTAAAGATCCCATGACAAAAAAGGTGAGTTTCTCCCAGTGTTTCAGCTCCAGATAAATTTGGTCATTGGGACAAAATTGGTTTGCGGGACACAAATTGAACACACATAGATTGGCTGCCGAGGTTGCCTATGAATACAGTCAGCAATTGTTGGTGAAGCACTCAGAGATGGTTTATCACTATAGTTGCTTTAAGTAAATCGAGTATTATTATTATTAATAATACTGTAAACACGGTGATGCTCCTTTGCTTCAGCTCTCACCTGGTGTACCAAACAGATTATTGTCCCTCATCAGCCTGTATTCCTCTTCGCTCAGGTTGTTGACAAAATGATAGAAAGCTTCTTCCCGATCCAGGCGGTCCAACTGTCGCTGACGCTGAGCCTCGTTCGAAGATTGAGAGTCACCCTGCTCGCTTCCGCCACCATCCTCATTGGCAGCATTTTCCATAATGAGACAAAGTGTTTTTTTAAACCTAGAGAGAAAGAACAATGTTAGGAAGGAGGCTAAAGCTAGATTTGTTTGGATTTACCATATTCAGGGAAGCAGCGTGGTAAAGAATCATTTAAACCCTGCCTTTCATATTCCACCATCAGTCTCCTTCTTCCCTAGTGTCGCCCACCCTTCATTGGAAGCTTCCGGGCTAAACTTCTAACTGGAGGACATGCCTGATAGTTGACTGCTTGACAGTCTACAACTGTTTGTGGGACATTGTTGTGCGCAATTGGCTGCCGCGTTCGCCCACAAAAATACAGTCAATTTACTTTACAGTGTGTTCTGTGAAGCGCTTTGGGACGTCCTTCCGACGTGAAAAGCGCTATATCAAATGCAAGGATTATTATTATTATTATTATCACTGCGCAATCAAAAATTCAGACCAATTTAAATATCATTTAAATACTATTTATATAACCTAAAGACTGCTGTGTACAAATGGCTGCCGCATTTTGTCCACAAAATACAGTCAATCCATTTTACAGTATATTCTGCGAAGCATTTTTAGCCGTCTCAACTATGTGATAAGGCGATATATTAAACACAAGTATTATTATTAGCAGTATTCATACTTGACTGTCAGTGGAGCTGGGTTACAACATACAGCAGGAACAGACTCTGAAGAGAAGTTTACCCACAGGAAAAAACAAAGAAACTCTGATCAGAAACCACAGTCATTAATTGTCAATACAAGTGCATGTTCCCAATAATCACCAAGTTTTGCTCTCCTGAAATGAACAAACACCGTCCCTGATGAGAAAGAATTGCTCTCTAATTCTCTCAGCTAAAAGCAGAGAGAACCAATGTACGTTATCACAGAACTGGAAGTCATGAAGTAAAAATGTCTCAATAACTAGGTAACCAAGTCGCTTAGTTTGAATCTTCTCCCGGTTACTTGAATGCAAAGAATGCTGAATTGGAAGTTTAACAAACATTTACAGCACATTATCTGGACTCTGGATTGTGTTTTCATGAAGAAACTCACAAAGCAGAGAGAGAAAGGACCCAAGCAACAAAAAGTCACCTTATTTTTCGCAACATACAGCGGCCTTGGAATTGAATTGCAAGCTACCAGCTCACCTGGGCTGAAGCTCAAAATATTTCCTATGATTTCAGATGTACTTTGTTTAGGGGGATATTCCAGAATTGACTGTTAAAGGCTGCCCCACACTGCTTTCAGTAGTTGAACAAAAGGTACAGGCCAATGGCCCAGTCCTGTGAAGAATTAGATGAAACTACTGGGGGGGGGGGTTTAGAAACTGAAACTGCTTAAAGAAATCAATGAACAAAGAGGAAAAAATGTGAAGTGAAACCAAAATGATAAACAAATGATAAAACGGGAAAGTGTGATTAAAGGCCAAAGTCCCATCCAGTCAACTCATGGGAGAATCTCCACACTCCACCCCCCACACATCTCTCCTGGTGATGCCTACTTAACCCCATCCTTGGGAAGGTGAAAAATAACAACAACGTGCATTTATATAGCACCTTTTACATTGGGAGAATGACCCAAGGCGCTGGACAATGAGGGATGTAAAACAACTCCATACTCTCCTTCAAAATAGTCGCAAATCCTGCAGCCGTCTAAACAGTTCAGACAAATTACGGGGATTGAGACATTTCTAGTAAAATCATCACATCCTGAAGCTAAAAAAATCAGAAATGTGAAGATATTTTGAGTTGTCAGACTAAATATATTGTGTTGTTGTTTGAGAAGTATTTTAATAAGTACTTTTTTAAAACTTTTTTTTCACCTAAAGACTGAAAGGGGAATTAGCTGTTAACAAATATTAAGAGCGTATTATGGCTTACTCCACGAGACTCGGTAACTTGCGTGGTTCAATCTGAATATTGCACTGCAAGTGTTGGTAGTGTAGCTGAGAAACTGAAGGCACGATTTTAGTCGTAACCATTCTTACCAATTGAGGCTCAACAAGAGTTTGGAGAGGTCAAACTGCAATTTGAAAAGTAACCCAACAAACAAACAACCAAACAAATGGGGACTTACTTAGCGGCCTCACCTTTCGCACAAGAAACCCTCCTGCAAAATGCATATAGGAGAAAGGTGCAAGAAATGCTCAATTAAAATAACTTGCTGACACTTCAATTTTCCACACGTGGCATTTTTCCAGTGTGAATCTTCTCTATTCCCTGTGCTACCAGCTATTTTAGATCCCCCCCGTCCCCTCTGTCACACACACACATACACACATCCACTTAGTTTACACCAACTACTTGATCTGCGCACACCGAGTACTCTTCAGTCACAGAAGGAATAAAATCCCCTCTCAATATGCCTCAACACCAACCCCGGCCCAAGTGTCCCGCAATAATGAACCTTAATAGTTCTAATCCAAATTTCTATTGTGCGGCTTTCCTGATTCAACAGTAAATTATGGGCAGTTTTGTGCTGCCAACTCCTGTCCACTAGGAATTTGGATAAGACTTCCAAACTAATTTCTCTTTGGTCCCAAACAGCTAATGGAGGGAAGCGATTCATTACAGCAGTGCCGGCTGGCTTCAAAACTGGATCATTGTTTTCTGCATTCTGTCACCGAATCATAAGGACCTAACAAATTAACACTGAAAGCTTCTATATCAGAATATAAATAGCTTGCTTATTTATATTAGTCATAATTCTGATAAAAGCCATATGACAAAACTGTATAAGTTATACAGTTGTGTTATTGTGGTCAAATGACACAACTGAATAAATAAATATGATTGAAGGACAATTCACACAGAAGGTAATCAATAAAATACATAAATACATATACAACTAGAGCGACAGGAGCAAAATAGCTCATACAATAAAACGCTCTGAATATTGTCAGGCAATCTCAGCACCTGACCCAAATTCTCCTACCCAGCACCACTACCTGCTATATTTTTATTAAATCATATCTGACTCATTAAGACAAATGACACTGACAAACAAGCTCTGAAGTCACACTCTTAGCAAACGTCAAATTGCCAGTGTAGAAATTTTGCACAAAAAACTGCCAACTCCAAGAAAACTTCACATTTGTATTTACTCATCTTGGAAAAAAACTAGTTTATAAATTGAACAGTAAGGGCTCCAACTAAACTACAGACTGTGAAACCTTTTTTGTTTCCCGGCATTTAGAAAGTTCAAATATGAAAAAAGTTTAATTTTACTTAAAAGTTACAAGAAAGTTCAAATGACAACAATGATGCTTAAGAAACCCTGGACTATTCCTCCTGGATAGTTACAAAGTGGAATTAGCAGAGAGAAGGGAGCAAGGTTGTTTCCCGCCTTTATGGGTGAGAATGGTTATACAGGACAGGAACCGATAAAGTTGGGAGGGATTAACAGTGTTGTTAATGGTTCTCATTGGCAGAGCAAGCATACACTACAGAACTGACTGAAGAATGTCAATCCACTTGGCTGGAATGCGGAGTAACTGAGGGCTTCACACAAGAGTGAATAAGATAATATCACCAAGGTATTATTACTTTGGAAAACACTTTTCATAAGTACTGTAGCCATTTGCATTATTATGACCAATTATCCGCCCTGTTTGCTTATCCAAAATGGGTCTGGAACTATGTGGATAAAACATTTTGAAATAATAATTTGGTCACACAATCCACGATTGTTTGTGGGACACTGATGTGCACAATTGGCTGCAGTATACAGTCAATTCACTTTACAGTATATCCTATGAAACGCTTTGAGATGTCTCAACGAAGTGATAAGGCGCTATATCAAATGCAAGTATTATTATAATCATCTCTCTACTAAAACTTAGACTGCAAACTGACACTGTTCGCAATCTGAGAGTGGGATCAGCCTACAACTCACCAAAAGAAATTAAAGTTTTACAAAAACAATGAAATAATTGATTTTGTTCCAAGAGGGCAATGTTGCTGGCCAGTGTCAAACCATATTCTAGAATGAGTTACCGGTTCGACCATCAAACCGTGCTTAGTTAAATGTCTGCCAAGACAGAGAATGAGTGCTATAATCAGTCAGCAATGTAGGATAGGGGGAAAATATTAGCCACAGTTGTTGCTCCTCTCCTGATCATTATGCTGAAACTCTGCTCCACGCCTTTGTCACCTCAAGGCTGGACTATGGGAACTCTCTCCTCGCCGGCCTTCCCGGCCCTCCCTCCACACTGCAGGGCATTCAGAACTCTGCAGCTCGTGGACTGTCCCGCACCAGACACCGCGCCCACATCACTCCCACCCTCGCCCTCACCCTCACCCTCACCCTCGCCCTCACCCTCACCCTCGCTCGCCTCCACTGGCTCCCCATCCCCCAGAGGATCGAATTCAAGATCCTCATCCTCACCTACAAGGCCATTCACGGCCTTGCTCCCTCCTACCTCTCCGACCTACTATCCCCCTACCTACCTGCCCGTACCCTCCGTTCCTCTGGCTCCGGTCTGCTCCATATCCCCCGCCCCAACCGCCCTACCATCAGTGGCCGGGCCTTCAGCCTCTCAGCCCCGAGGCTCTGAAACCCTATCCCCCAGTGCCTTCGCCGCTTCCTCTCTTTCCTCCTTCAAAGCCGGTCTCAAGATCTTTCTCTTTGACCGTGCCTTCAGCTCCCCTCTCGACTCTCTACCCCCTCCTCGCTCCCTCCCTTCCCTCCCCCTGACCATTTCCCCCCAATGCTCGGGTCCTGACCCAACTGCACAGCGGCTTGGGACGTCCTCCCGACGTGAAAGGCGCTCTATAAATGGAATCTTGTTGTTGTTGTATGCAGTGATTCCTGTTGAAATGTGTGTATGTATGCATATCAGTTAAAGACAGGTCAACACCCCCAAGGTTCAATACCCTGCTGGGACTGTCTACGTAGGTTTACAGTTGAAGAATGGCCACATGGGTAAGTTACTGGAAAGCAACCTGTGTTCCAGCAAGTCTGCATCTTCCGTAGAGGAGAGAGGAAAAAAAACAGCAATTTGTAAAAAAAAAAAGGAGGCGTTTACACCAACCCCATTATAAATCTCCTCTATGGCAGTGTTAGAAATGTAGCACGACATGAAATCAGATCATCGACATTTGTCCAGCGCCTTGGGACGTCCTCCTGACGTGAAAGGCGTTATTACACAAATATAATTTTGTTGTTGTTGTCCAGCATTCATACCTTAGAAAACAAAAATAATTAAGTACATTTTCTGATATTTTGGTATAACAAGGTGTATTCTGTGTGTTTCATTCACAATATCATTCACGAAAGTGGGAAATTTAGGTTTATCTTTGGAGACCAAGGTTCAAGTGCAGGTCTGAGAATATGGCTGAAGTAACACTCTCCAATGTATTGAATAGTCTCAACTAAATTCTTACATGGGGCAGGAATCCACCAAGCAAAACCACCCCAGCCTGTAAGGAATAGGCTGGTGGGAAATATGATGCTCTTTCAAGGAAACAACAACAACTTGCATTCATGTAGCACCCCTCATGCAGTGGAGCGTCCCAGAGCGCTTAAGGCAGACGTTGAAGCAGAGTTTTTGTGGCAGCACTACAGGGAGCGCCACCATACATCGAGCTCATCTGGAAGCAATCAAAATTCACCCACAAAATACAGTCGCCACACTTTACAGTCATTATCATATTATTATAGTGCCAATTTGAGCAAAAGAAACTGTAAAAGCTTCACATTTCCAAGCACCAACATGCCTCACCTTCAGCACAAAATCCAATTTTTCCCACAAGCCTACTGATATGAAAGATGGGTTACACAGATCCATATAACTATTTTCTCTCTCTTTTTTTGAAAATTTAAACAATCCTTTGTTTCTGAGATAGAGTTTCAGTCTTTACCCTCCCCGTGTAAGATTTCACTGAAAACTGAATTGGTTTAAAATATATCAAAAATAGAATAGAACAATTCAACATCACCAAGAAAGATGTGCCAATTCAACGTCACCAAGCAAACCCACAATCCATTCCCACAAAGTACTCCACACAAACAGGGTTTGTGACAGAAGCTTTTTTTAAAAAAAAAAAATCCTTATTTAATTGCTCATCCTGAAAATTGCAGCAAGGCCTGAAGCAGAAAAATGGAAATGGAGTCTAAATTGAAAATGGCTCCCATGTCACCAGGAATAATAGCCAAAGAGGAGCAAAAATCTCTCTCAACATAAGCTAATAAAGTGTCAAGTCAGTCTTTACAACTTCAATGATGATTATATAAACAACTAAGAGCTTTTCAAAAATCCACATTTTACAAAGGAAGGCACCAGAACCTAAGAAGCCCAAAAGCTGCCACACTGGGGGGGGAAAAAAAACACTAGAGGTCAAGAATTCCACCAATGTAGAAATTCAAAGACCTCCATTTCACGAAAGTCTAAATAAATAACTGCATCTCCATGAACTGAAACCAGCTCGATTTTATCCTTATCACCCGACGAAGGCAGTTAAATGGGAAACATTTGGCAGCTTTTGGGAGACAGCGATAGGGCTCATGAACCGAAATTAACTCCTTGTCTACAACCCCAAAAAAAAAAACCCGATGTCCAAAAAGCCCTGTCACTCGGGAGGAAAATAAACCTAAACATCATTGACAGAGGCCGACAGAGCAGCCATTATGCGGATTTGCGTTTGTTCACGGTGCTAACTGTAAATTTGTATAGGTCCTAAGGAGGTGAAGGAGGGGGGGGGGGGGGGGGGGGGCAGAGAGGGAGCCAAATAATTCCCTGTATGAAGCACATCATATTATTGACCTACATAAGGCCAGTTACGCAATCGCCGGATAGATGATGATGATGGTGGGGGGGGGGGGGGAAATCGCAATGCATCGGATCCCTACAGCAACGTACAGGAACCCTGATGTGTCCCGGGAGAGAAAATAACAAACAAACAAACAAACAAACAAAAAAAAGAACCCCAACAATTTTTCATCCCACAAATTAATTTGGTTTTTTTTGTAAAAAAAACTCCGTTTGTTTATATATATATATATACACACACACACTCACATCTATAACGTGAGAGAGAGTGAGAGAGAGAGAGAGATTTCTCAAATAAACATTTATTACCATAGAGATAGCAATGTGGATACTAGAGGGCCTTTTCCATTTAGACAGTCACCGTACACACACACACACACACACATATACACACACACATATACACACATATATAATATATATATATACATAATGTATGTAGCACACAGACAGCCGCCACACAGACGTTTGTCCCGTTGATGTTTCTGGATCATAGAACGGCTCCGGTTGGATCGAAAAGGAGCAAAAGACGAGGAAACTGAGCAAAGCGTCGGTTCCAAACAGAAAACCGGTTGGTGGGGGGTTCGCGCACACACACACACACACACACACACACGGCAGCGACTTACACATTTTTTGTTCCCCCCTCTCCCCACCCACCACCCAAAAAAAAAAGGGAATATTAAACCAGAAATTATTTTCTTGTCGTTTTCTGTGATTAATTCTAACCCCCACCCACCCCCACCCCCACCCCGAACCCCACCGGGGAGGCGCCGAGAGCCCGAGCCTCGACGTATATTCTGAGGAGGAGGAGGAAGAGGAGGAGGAGGAGGAAGGGGGAAAACAGGGCCTCGGTGCTCTCGCAGCGGGAGTCGCCGCCGGGGAGAGAGAGAGAGAGAGAGAGAGAGAGGAGGGAGAAGTCGCACTAGGCCGCAAAGCCTGCGCCTCGCCTGAGCTCCTCCGGCCGTAGAACGGACCGAGTGTCCGCCCGTCGCCGCCGGTCCTCCCCAGAGCGCTCCTTCCCTCCCTCCGCCCTCCCGCCGCGCGGCCTCTCCTCACCCGCCGGCACTGACCGAGTCGCCGCGTCGCGTCCAGTCCGGGGCCGGGCCTCGCCGCTCAGACCGTTACCGCCATTGTCAGAGGCGGCGACCGACCGGAAACAGGAATCCACCTCCGAGTCCCGCCGTCTCACCCCCTCCCCGCGGAAACACCGTCCTGACTGCTCCCCCGAGCGCCCGCGCAAACGTTCCGGGGCATCGCATTCCCACTCAGTCACGCACTCAGTCAGTCAGTCGCTCACTCACTGGACTCAGTCAGTCACTCACTCACTCACTCAGTCAGTCAGTCAGTCACTCACTCAGTCAGTCACTCAGTCAGTCAGTCACTCGCTCATTCACTCACTCGCTCAGTCACTCGCTCGCTCACTCATTCACTCACTCAGTCACTCATTCAGTCACTCACTCATTCACGCACTCAGTCACTTACTCATTCACTCAGTCAGTCGCTCACTCACTCAGTCACTCACTCATTCACTCACTCGCTCAGTCACTCACTCAGTCAGTCACTCACTCTCTCACTCACTCAGTCACTCATTCAGTCAGTCACTCACTCGCTCACTCAGTCAGTCACTCATTCACTCACTCAGTCACCTACTCATTCACTCAGTCAGTCACTCACTCAGTCAGTCACTCACTCGCTCACTCACTCAGTCAGTCACTCGCTCACTCACTCAGTCAGTCACTCACTCGCTCACTCACTCAGTCAGTCACTCATTCACTCAGTCAGTCACTTACTCATTCACTCAGTCAGTCGCTCACTCACTCAGTCACTCACTCATTCACTCACTCACTCAGTCACTCACTCAGTCAGTCACTCACTCACTGGCTCAGCTTCACATGCACTGAAATAATAATGATAATCCTTTCATTTGACACAGCTTATCATGTCGTCTCAAACCGCTTCACAGACCATACCGTAAAGTGTAGTGACTGTATATTTTGTGGACGATACGCGGCAGCCAATCGCGCGCAGCAGCGGCGGCGGCCGGTTTAATCAATGAAATGATTCATCTTTAAAGTTAAACAAACAAAAAAAAATCAGAAAACCTTTCAGGCGAGGGAGGTGCTTGTAAGGCATCTTTGATCCACTGGAAGGAAGTCTCAAAGTGCTTGACAGGATTCACGGTAAAGTGTAGTGACTGGTCAGGACACCTGGAGCGAGAAACTCCTCTTTTTCGTATGGCGCCGTGAGATCTTTAACTTCCACCTCGAATGGCAGACATGACCGTGGTTCAACATCCCATCCGTAGTACGGCATCTCCGACATCGCAGCCCAGCAAATGAAAAATCATTCGAGTAGTTGTCTTCCGGGTGGGGGCGGAGAGGGGGTATTGGGTGGCGGGGTGTGGGGGGGGTAGGACTGTGACTAAGGTGAAATCTCCTGATGTTTGCGTCATCACAAGATTCGGGTTTGGGTGAAAAACCTCTTCGGGCCGATTGATCCCGTCTTTCCAAATCATGTTTAAATGTTTTGCTTTTCTTCGGGGAGGTATCGTTTGATGTAAGGAACCAGCTCCAGGTGAGGCGATCACATTGCCAACCGCAAGCCACCCTGAAAACCCACAGACATTTAGCGAAGGGTGAAAGGTTAAACCCCATTTTGGTTGCAGATCAAGGTTTCCTTATGACTGAACGTGTGCCGACCGAAATAGAATGCTGGGAGCTGTAGTTTGTGACCGTGGAGGTGTCCGATCCTAATAAGTAATACATCCACGCAATTCTTTGCGCTTGATATCGCGCAGATCACTTCAGAAAGCACTTCAGTGTCCACTCCATTGCTTTCGCCTCTAGTGACTGTGTGTTTTGTGGGCAAAATGGCAAAAAACAATGGGTGGGAGGGGGAGGGGGGGGGGGTTGAATATGTAATTAGCTCAATTACACCGACCAGCACACAGTAATAACACTGGTAAAATCCTGAGAAGCACTTTGAGATACTTTGATGATGTGTTGAGGCATTTCATCAAATGCAAGGATTGTTAATTTTTAATTATTATTGCCCTCTGTGTGCGTGAATACCTCATTTATATCTCTATTCTCACTTGCTATTCATTTTTCCCACCATAGCTAGCATGTGTTAAGACATTAAAATTACAATGACAATGAATTGCTCGCTGGATCGTTGAACTAGTTGTACACACATGTCCATACATGTTGCTCCCGGTGTCCTGGCTAACAGTCTCGAAGTTAATTGGCCATTCACTTTATGGTTGTTTGTGTATGCAAATTGGCTGTGACATTTGCCTTCAAACACAGTCACTACGCTTGACCACGATTCCCCATGACGCACGTTAAGACATTTAAACGTTAAATCGAGGATTGTTACTATAGTTTTATTGTCCAGTGTGTACATGGAAAGAGATGGAGGGTTTATTGATACGCTTTGCTTCCCTTATCCCGAGCCTTGGGCTTTCACTCATAGTCATAACAAACGAAGACCACGCGCCCACCCAACTGGAAGCATGGATTTTGAGCGTGCCTGACATTTTTAGCCATTATTACAGCCAATATTTCTCCTCTAACTTTATTCCTGTGCAGCGTCCTCACCTGAAATCACTTTGGCTCCTTTTCTCTTCTCTCTGGATTGATTTCCTGTGCATTCCTCCTCCATGGCTTGCTGTCCATGTTGGGAGCCTGGACAAACAAGCCCGAGAAGTTTGTCCGACGGTGCTCTCAATGGCAAGCTGTGCAGTGTTAACTGGGTAGACTCCAGTAGTTACTCTCCCCCTCCCAATTGGCTGCCGCGTCTTGTCCACAAAATATGCAGTCAAACCACTTTACAGTGTATCCTGTGAAGCGCTTTGAGACGTCTCGAAGACGTGATAAGGCGCTATATCAAATGCCAGGATTATCATTATATTATTCTTATCACTAATTAACACTGGCTTGGCTTTGCTTGATTTTCTTGTGAGGCTCTGCAAAGCACTTTGAAACATCCTCCCGTTGTCCTCCTCTGACAATTGGTGGCACTGATTTAAAAGGAATAGATTATTACCAATGGTCTGGAAATGATTGTGTATCTAATGTTCTGCAAAGCCGCTTTTCTCTGGCCACCAGAGGGCCTTCTGCGAGTGTTTTACAACGGCACTCTGTGGCAAGTACCGTAAAAAATGCCTAACCAACCACTCCTCTTTAGGAAAATACATGTTTTATTATTCTCTAGGAAAATGTGGCGCTTGGTCAGCTCGGGATTATTTTCCTGACGGTTTTGAATATTTTGATATTTCCCCACACCCAAGTTTTCTGTGAGGATTTCAGGAGTCAACCTGACTCGGTTGGTAGCACTCTGGCCTCTGAGTCATAAGGATTGTGGATTCAGGCACCCCCACATCACATTGGGCGTTCACCTTATAATCTAGACTGATGCTCCAGTGCAGTGCTGGGGAGTGCTGCATTGTCGGAGGTGCTGCCCGTTGGGTGAAATCTTAAATCAAGGTCCCGTCTGCATGTTCAGGTGGATGTCAAAGATCCTGTGGCATTATTCGAAAATAGGAGGGAGTTTAACCCGGTGTCCTGACCAACAATCTCCCAAATAAAATTGATCATTTGCTTCATGGCTGTTTGTGGAGACCTTTGTTTTAAAGTCTCTAAGACATCTGCAACCCTGCAGTGCTCTCCCCAAGACTGCATTTGAGTGCCAGCCTAGACTTATATGAGTTCAAAGTCCTGACGTTTAGATTTGAACCTACAGCCTTCTGGCTCGGAGGCAAGAGTGCTACCAACTGAGCCAGGCTGATACACACAGATAATAGGGGGGAAAGGCAAAGCATTGAATAAAAATAAATGGTTTGGGAGGGTGTGGGGAGGAAGAAGCCACAATATTGATCGTACAATTTATAGTCAAATTAATCTGCTAGCAGCTTCTCACCACGTAACCCTTGTCTTGTACCACAACACACTTCAGACCAATTTGTTCAGACGTGTCATTTGGCTATGAGTGTATCAGACAGTGGTTGGCTGTGGGTGACAAGAAACCTGCCCACTCGCTGCTTTCACTCTAGTCTGTCAGCCTCTTTATCTTCTCTCTCTCTCTCTTAGATTTTGGAATGCGTCTGAGTGGCATGGAAGCAGATTTGATGGTAGCTTTCAAAACGGAATTGGAAAGGTACTTGAAAAGGAAAAATATGCAGGGCGATGAGATAAGAGCGGGGGAGTGGGACTAGTTGGATAGATCTTTCAAAGAGCCAAGACAGTACAATGGGCCGAATGGTCCCCTGTGCTGTAGGATTCTATTCTATGAGAAGCAGACCACGGGCATAAGGCTGATGCATCAAAGCCTGGATCTGGCACACGCTTTAACAAACTGATCTACTCGGCAGCGGTTGGATGCAACATCCGTCCCTGCTCCCTTTACACGAGGGATGTAGAATGAGCCAGGCAGCAAAGGAGCCCAAACTCACCCCTAGCGTTTAGATTTGAGTCTCCGCCCCACCATCAGAGGTGGTGCTTTCAGTCTCTATGCACCGAATCTCTGGAACACTCCCCTCAATCCCTTGACAACTCTCTTCCCTTTTGCAAGTCCTGCCTGAAAACCTTCCTTTGACTGTGCTTATGGCCATCTCCCCCCCCCCCCCCGCCCCCCCCCAGCCCCATCTCGGAGTCAGGCTCCGCCTCCGTTAAGCGCTCTGAGACGCTATCCTGGATGGAGGGCGCAATATAAGTGCAAGTTGTTGTTGATGTTGAGTCTGTTGTCTAAAGACTTTCAGATTGCGCAGAAATATTTTGGCAAACTGGTGTGTTTGATGCTGATTTCTGTTGAGGTTTTTTTTTAAAAAAATACACCCAAGCACACAGACTGATTTCTAAACGAAGACTGAGTTAAGTTTTTAATTTCATAACGCGAATAAAATAAAAACAGTTCAAGTCCCTAGTCTCTAACTGTAATAATGATAATCCTTGCATTTGATACAGGGCCTCATCACTCACACCAACAACTCCCTTTACGACTGTTTGTGGGGGCACTACTGTGGCTAAATTGGCTACTGCGTTTGCCTACAAAACACATAGTCACTATATTTCACAGTAAACTCCCGTGAAGCACTTTGAGACATCTTGAAGACATGTTGAGGCGCTATACCAAATGCACGTATTATTATTCACTGTCCTGTGCTGTGCTTGGTGCTGGAATCCTCACACCGTTCC